TCTTCACTGTAGTAGTATGAGTGATCAAGAGGCACACATGATGAGGACTACTTGGCAGGTAAGGGTAGAATTAGTGAGGCAACAGGAAAAGCATGGGTAGTAAGTAGGAGGGAAGGCTAAGTGAAGAGCAGGGAAACTGGTGCATAAGGGAAAAATCAAAAGAGGGAGCAAGAATGACCTCCAACTTGGTAGGGACAAAGTTGGCTCAGTTGGATGCTGTTCTCTTGTGAGGGTTAGTGCCCTGGGAAATCAAGTGTCGCCCCACTTGGGCACAATGTAAAGAATATCTTTTTTTTTTTTTTTTGACAGGCAGAGTGGACAGTGAGAGAGAGAGAGAAAGGTCTTCCTTTGCCGTTGGTTCACCCTCCAATGGCCGCCGTGGCCAGCGCCACGGCTCAATAGGCTAATCCTCCACCGGCGGCGCCGGCACACCGGGTTCTAGTCCCAGTCGGGGTGCCGGATTCTGTCCCGGTTGCCCCTCTTCCAGGCCAGCTCTCTGCTGTGGCCAGGGAGTGCAGTGGAGGATGGCCCAAGTGCTTGGGCCCTGCACCCCATGGGAGACCAGGAGAAGCACCTGGCTCCTGCCATCGGATCAGCGCGGTGCGCCGGCCGCAGTGCGCCGGCCGCAGTGCGCCGGCCGCGGCAGCCATTGGAGGGTGAACCAACGGCAAAGGAAGACCTTTCTCTCTGTCTCTCTCTCTCTCTCACTGTCCACTCTGCCTGTCAAAAAAAAAAAAAAAAAAATCTTCTTCCAGATACTCAGGTTTAGGAAAGGGTTATCTGCTTTTGAGGGACAATAATGACAAAATTGACACTGGACCATCTCAGAAAATGTAGAAGATTTTGACTTTGTAATGTTGTTTCTCTCAGTTCCTGTGACCTAAAGTACACAGAAGGAGTACAGTCCCTGAACTGGACTAAAATCATGAAGACCATTGTTGATGACCCCGAGGGCTTCTTTGAACAAGGCGGCTGGTCTTTCCTGGAGCCAGAGGGTGAGGTGCGTGAGTGTGGGGTTTCTTTTCTGGTATACAGTGTTGCCTGCTGTTCTTCAGACAGTTAGGAAAAGGGCATTTAAATGATACATAAAGTATCAGACCAGTTGGGAGAGGCTCTGAACAAACCTAGTATTTCTCTAAGTTACTTTTACAGGTAATGATAAATTGACCATTAGTAACCACTGATAAGATCTGAGATCACAAAAATTGCTCATTGATGAGTTCCTTATTACTAGAAAATTCTTCAAGGCATTTTATAAAAATTTTTTTCTAAAAAATAATCCCCTCACCTTTGGATAATGCATTGTTACAAACAGTCCTTGATGAATCTCAGAAATGTTTCAAGTTTCAAATAACTGCACCTGATCAGTAATTTTATTTCAGATTTATTGAAAACGGAGTGACAGAGCAAGAAACCCATCCTGGTCTCCCACATGGGTGGCAGGGACCCAAGGACTCTGGCTATCTTCCACTGCTTTCCCGGGCGCATTAGCAGGAAGAGGAGAAGCCAGGCACTCAGATATGGGCTGCCAACATTGCAAGCAGTAGCTTAGCCCACTGTACCATAACACCAGCCCTTATCAGTAATTTTAAATGAATCATTTTATTGTTTGATCACCCAGGTTTTCTGTTTTTGTGTCTTCCATGTGGGTGAATTAACTTACTAAACTAATAAGGTAGGGAAAAAGTCAGTAAATAATACTGTGCTCTTTTTAACTCCCCAGGGGAGCGATGCTGAGGAAGGGGATTCAGAGTCTGAAATTGAAGACGAGACTTTTAATCCATCAGAGGATGACTATGAGGAGGAGGAGGAGGACAGTGACGAAGATTACTCATCAGAAGCAGAAGAATCAGGTTTGTCATATAGGGAAAATTTGTCCTTGCTTTCTCATCTACTGTTACTTCTAGAAGCTACTTTTAATGTATAGTGATGAATGTCTAAATTTATTCCAGACTATTCCAAGGAATCATTGGGCAGTGAAGAAGAGAGTGGAAAAGATTGGGATGAACTGGAGGAAGAAGCTCGGAAAGGTTTGTGTTTGGGTTTTTTTCCCGCTATCTGGTTCATTTTACTTATATGTTTATGTACAAATTCCTGATACCTTTTAGTACTTTAAGTAACCTAATGAGACTAGCAAAAGAATGCTGTTGCCGTAGCTGTAACTTCATTGACCAAAGGAGAAGAAAGTCCTATAATTAACTTTCAGGAGTATCTTAATAGTGTTAACCCAGGTACTCTGAAACCAAAACCCAAATACAAGTTAAAGAATGAAAAGGAAGGGGGCCGGCACCGCAGGTGGAGAATTAACCTACTGCGCCACAGTGCCGGCATCCCATATGGGGGCCGGTTCTAGTCCCAGATGCTCCTCTTCCAATCCAGCTCTCTGCTATGGCCTGGAAGAGCAGTGGAAGATGGCCCAGGTCCTTGGGCCCTGCACCCACATGGGAGACAGGGAAGGGGCACCTGGCTCCTGGCTTCAGATCGGCACAGCTCGAAACATTGCAGCCATTGGGGAGTGAACCAACAGACGGAAGACCTTTCTCTCTCTCTGTTTCTCCCTCTCACTGTCTGTAACCCTGCCTCAAATAAATAAAATTTAAAAAGAAAAAAAAAAAAGGGCCCACCTTTGTGGCACAGCACATTAAGCCACCACCTGCAACGCCAGCAACGCATATGAGTGTCATTTTATGTGCCCGCTGCTCCACTTCTGATCCGGCTCCTGCAGATATGCCTGGGAAAGCAGTGGAAAAAAAGATGTCCTTGGTCTGCAACATGGGTCACAGGGGCCCAAGTACTAAGATGGAATTGCAGGCTCCTGGCTTTGACCTGGCCCAGCCCCAACTATTGTAGCCATTTGGGGAGTGAACCAGACAAGATCTCTCTCTCGCTCTCCCTCTGCCTTTCAAATAAAATAAATTTTAAAGAATTATCTACTCTGTACTAAGCATTTTCATATCTGCTTTGTGTAGGTTACCATTTTTAACCCTTAAGTAATTCTCCATTTTATAAACAAACCAACCATGGCTCAGAAAGGTTAAGTACTCACCCACAGTCACACAGCTAGTAAGTGCCTGAATAAAGATTAAAACTCGGCCGGCGCCGCGGCTCACTAGGCTAATCCTCCGCCTAGCGGCACCGGCACACTGGGTTCTAGTCCCGGTCGGGGCGCCGGATTCTCTCCCGGTTGCCCCTCTTCCAGGCCAGCTCTCTGCTGTGGCCTGGGAAGGCAGTGGAGGATGGCCCAGGTGCTTGGGCCCTGCACCCCATGGGAGACCAGGAAAAGCACCTGGCTCCTGGCTCCTGCCATCGGATCAGCGCGGTGCGCCGGCCTCAGCACGCCGGCCACGGAGGCCATTGGAGGGTGAACCAACGGCAAAGGAAGACCTTTGTCTGTCTCTCTCTCTCACTGTCCACTCTGCCTGTCAAAAAAAAAAAAAATTAAAACTCAGGTAGGACTCCAGAGTACATTCTATTTCATGCTGTCCAGTGATATTATCTACTGTGCCTACATTCTGCTAATTAATAATGCTGCTTTCTTCTGTTCAGCGGATCGTGAGAGTCGTTATGAGGAAGAAGAAGAGCAGAGTCGAAGTATGAGCCGGAAGAGGAAGGCATCTGTACACAGTTCAGGCCGTGGCTCCAACCGTGGTTCCAGACACAGCTCTGCGCCCCCCAAGAAAAAGAGGAAGTAACTTCTGAACTTTGGCCCTCACCTCCATTTTTCCTTCAGCCAACCCCTGAAAATTTTACATGACGTAGAAACTGTATTTTTCCTCTTGTTTTCTTTGAAGTTTTGCCATTTGTGTTTATGGGTTTAGGGGGCCATTTGTGTGGACCAATCTACTTGGGGAATTCCAGGCCCACCAGGACATGTACCAATGGCCCCATTCAGATGGCAAGGGAGGAGGTGAAGAAGGGCAGAGGCTCCTGCGATTAATAAATAGCGTTCCATTCCTCTCTTCTGTCACCTTCTGCCGGGACGTCGATGGCTTTTGACATCTTACTCTTTGGTGTCTCAAAGCTGTATTTGCAAGAACATGGTACAAGGTGACCCTTTACCTGTACCATGGTTCTTGACCAGCAGATTCGAGCCTCCATCCTACCCTATTGCCAAGATCTTCCTCATGTCTCTTTAAGTTCCATCTTTGCAATACTCAAGAAAAGGTTCTTGGAATTTGCTAACAGTGGGATACACCATGCAACTTGAGCTAGGGTAAGGCAGATTGGGCTGGTGCCTTTGAGTTTTCCTGCTTGCCTCATGCAGATTCTGAGGCGTTTCTGCCGCCTTGGAAGACAAACAAAGCAGTGACACTCCCTGGCTCGGTTCTTTCTCATTACAAATTCCTACTTGGTACCATGATAGAAGCCAGAACTGCCACTGTCTCCTTTATTTTCTGATGTATCTAAAGAAGAATGGCCATGCCTCCTACACTGCTTCCAGCAAAATCTAGAGGGAGGCCCAAAGGAGTCAGCCCCTTAGACCTGGAAGGGGCAAGACATGCTTTGGGCCTAGAATACCCTGTCAAGAGAAGAGGAAGGAAGGCCACATCTGCAGCCTCTCGTCACTGCTGCTCCTTGTCCTGCCCTGTCCTGTATTTATCAGTTTCTGTTGAACGGCTTTTTCATGTCAGGGGAGTTTATCCTGCCACCCTCCCCTCCTGGTTCTCTGCATCCACCTGTCCCACTGCAGTTCCTTCCGTGTTCTGTGACTTTTAAGACAAGAGCGGGGGAGGGGTCTTGGATTTTATGTTTGTTTTGTTTTTTTCTCCTTAGCAGTAGGACTTGATACTTTCAATTTTGGAAGAACTAAAAGATAAATAAACTGTGGGGTTTTTTTATTGTTGTGTCGTTTTTGTCAATTCACCCTTTGTGACCATTCTTTTGCAGTTCCTTAAAGCAAGCCTGCTTCTTGGTGCCAGAGAGATTTCCCTAATCCAGCTAGTGTCACAGAAATACTTCACGATCACGTTGAAAGAGAGTAGATATCACAGTAAACCAGATTTATGGTATAGCAAGTTACTTTATAAGAGTTGTTTTTGTTTTTTTGGTTTTTTTTGTTTTGTTTTGTTTTGTTTTACTATGTTTCCCTCAGATTTTAGATTGGAATAGCTTTTGTTCCTTCATGAATACAAATCTTCAGTCATCTCCTTGTAAATAGCATGGAGGGCAGCAGCTGCTTGAAGGGAAACCTTCAGCCTTCCTATTGGAGTGGCCTTGTCTTGAGGACTAACAACTGTTGGGAAAGAAAAAAATACTGTCAGGCAGCAATACCGTTCTGTTAAACACTTCGCTGTCTGTTGTCATGTTTCTGGGGATGCTAAGTAAATGAAGTGACTGCCATCTTTCATAAGATGACTGGAGAAGGGAGAAGAGTGATTACAAGACAGCATGTAGAAGATGCAGATGTAATAGAGCTCAGGGGACACAGAAGGGGCACCTGAGCCAGAAGGGAGAAATTGGAAAAGGGTTCCTGGACACAGTTGATGAGCTGAGTCTTCCAAAGGGAAATTACATTCTAAGCATGTGCCAAGACAGGAGAAACAGACAAGTCTGTAAAACTGCAAAGAGCAGCAGAAATGAGGCTACATAGATACACAGGACCCCGGTCATAAACGGCATTGTTTTTCTTCAAGCAGTTACATTACTTGGAAGGCGAAGTGATAGGGAGAAACAGAGATCTTGGCATCTACTGGTTTGCTTCCCAGATTACCCCAGCAGCCAGGGCTGGACCAGACTGGAGCCAAGAACTCCATCTGAGTCTCCCACATGAGTGACAAGGGACCCAAGGGCTTGAGTCATCTTCTACTTTCCCAGGCATGTTAGCAGGGTGCTATATCAGAAGCGGAATAGGCAATGCTCATGTTCCAGTGTGGGATGCCAGCACTACAGGCAGGGGCTTCACCCACTATGCCACAACACCAACCCTTCAAGCAATCTGGTTTTAACTAAAGGTATTAGAGTGACAGTTTCCATGTGTGTTCTAAAAAGACAGCTTCCATCTGTTGGTGAGTATTTGAAGGAGGCGCAAGTGGACCATTTAGGGTCCTATTGCAGTGATTGAGGGTGGGGGAGGAAGGGTGGGTGATTGAGGAGGTATGAAGTAACGAGCTGAGAAGACAGTAAAGATTTTTAAAATTTTTGTGACTTCAGATCTTGCAGATAATTTGTAAGTTCTTGTTTGATTTGAATAAGCAATAGTGTGTGCATGTTGGGAGTGCGTGTAGAAACCACTCTTAAGAGCTTCTAAGTTGGGCAGATACTTGGTTATTTCTAATAAAGACTTCCTTAAAAAGTTTTTGTGACATAATGTTAGGAAAAGGTTGCAATAAAGGATTACCATTCTGATTTTGTCAATAAGGACAGTGAGTAAAGGAATACAGATATACATTGTAGTCTGGGGTCTTTAAGGGACTAAGACGACATACAGCCTAATGACAAGTACCAGTGTATACTGTATTAAACGTCTGGCATAGAAACCTGGATTTGAGATGATTTCTAGGCTATAATTAAAACCCTGAGTGTGGATTTAGTCACCCAGGAAGAAGGCATAGGAAGAAAAAAGAACAAGATTTGAACCGGAAGAATCCAACATTTGAAGGACAAGACCAAGGAGGAAGAACCTGCGAAGGAACAGAAGTGACAGGGACAATAGCCTAAAACCCAAGGGAGAACACACATTAGAAAGGAACAATGATACAGAGGTTATGGAAAAATCAAGATCAGTAATAAAAACCATTTGCATTTGGCAATTAGGAAAGCTGGTAAATGCCGGCACCGCGGCTCACTAGGCTAATCCTCCGCCTAGCGGCGCCGGCACACCGGGTTCTAGTCCCGGTCGGGGCGCCGGATTCTGTCCCAGTTGCCCCTCTTCCAGGCCAGCTCTCTGCTGTGGCCAGGGAAGGCAGTGGAGGATGGCCCAAGTACTTGGGCCCTGCACCCCATGGGAGACCAGGAGAAGCACCTGGCTCCTGCCATCGAATCAGCGCGGCTGGCCGCGGCGGCCATTGGAGGATGAACCAACGGCAAAGGAAGACCTTTGTCTCTGTCTCTCACTGTCCACTCTATCAAAAAAATAAATAAATAAAAATAATTTAAAAAATTAAAAAAAAGGAAAGCTGGTAAAAACATGCAGTAAAGTACTTAGAATGAAAATTTGAGTTTTAGGGCCGACGCTGTGGTGTAGGGGGTAAAGCCGCTGCCTGCAGTGCCAGCATCCCATTTGGGCATTGGTTCAACTCCCAGCTGCTCCTCTTTTTGTTTTGTTTTGTTTTTTTACAGGCAGAGTAGACAGAGAGAGAGGTCTTTCTTTACTTGGTTCACCCTCCAATGGCTGCGGCGATCGGTGCGCTGCGCTGATCCGAAGCCAGGAGCCAGGTGCTTCCCCCGGTCTCCCATGTGGGTGCAGGGCCCAAGCATTGGGCCATCCTCTACTGCCTTGCCAGGCCACAGCAGAGAGCTGGACTGGAAGAGGAGCAACCGGGACTAGAGGTGCCGGTGCCGCAGGCGGATGATTAGCCTATTGAGCCGCAGCGCCAGCCGCTTAACTTCTGATCTAGCTCTCTGCTATGGCCTGGGAAAGCAATACAAGATGGTCCAAGTGCTTGGGCTCTTGGACACACATGAAAGACCTGAAAGAAGCTCCTGACCCCGCACTTCGGATAGGCGCAGCTCCGGCTATTGCAGCCATCTGGGGAGTGAACCAGCGATGAAGACCTCTCTCTGTAACTCTGCCTTTCAAATAAATTAATTTAAAAAGTTGAGCTCAATGCTAAGATATATAGGAAGTACAAAAGTACAGACAGTATTATAGACTGGTCATTCAAGAATTTCAAGGAGCTGGGTTTTGAAGTAAGAAAAAAATGGTAACTAACAGTAGGAAGCAGAGTTTTTTTTTAAAGTCAGAGACCAATATGTACAAACTCTTAGTAGAAGGGAAGACATAATGAAGAAGTTACTAAAACCTGATGACTGGGGAAAAACGGGCCTGGCAAGTTAGGCTGCCCCTTGGGATGCCTGCACTCCATGTCCGAGTTCCTGATTCCAGTGCCAGCTACTCTGCTTTGAATCCAGCTTCCTGTTGCTGGCATACCCTGGGAAGTAGAAAATGATGGCTCAAATTCTTGGGTCCCTGCCACCCGTGTGGGAGACCTGGGTGGAGTTCTGGGCTGCTGATTGGGGCCTGGCTCAGCCTTGACTGCTGCAGGCATTTGAGCAGTGAACCAGCAGATGGAAGATTTCTCTGTCACTCTGCCTTTCAAATATTTTTAAAAGAAAAAACACTCATTAACTTGGAATTTTCCCCATATACAAAGGGCATGGAAATGAGAAATCGTGGCATGTTTACAGAAGGGGCAGGAGTAGGAATTGAGAGAACTGGAAAGTAATTAACTTGCTATGTGCTGGGCACTGTCCTAATCCCTTCATCTTTCATGTTAAGCATTCCCTTAATCTTCACAGCACTATGAGATAGATACTACTGCTATGACTACAGTTGGAAAGACTCCTAAGGAATCAGCTAATATTTGATGAGGTATATGGGGGCTAAAATGTACAACTGACTATAGAAATAAACATGGCCATATGGGCCAGCACTGTGGCGTAGTGGGTAAGGCCACCTGCAGTGTTGGCATCCCATATGGATGCCAGTTTGAGTCCCAGCTGTTCCACTTCTGATCCAGCTCTTTGCTATGGCCTGGGCAAGCAGTGGAAGATGGCCCAGGCCCATGGGCCCCTGCACCTGCATGGGAAACCAGGAAGAATCCCCTGGCATCAGATTGGCACAGCTCCAGCCATTGTGGGCAATTGGGGAATGAATCCACAGATGGAAGACCTCTCCCTCTCTCCCTCCCCCCACCCCCGTAACTCTTTCAAACAAATCTTAAAAAAAAAGCCATAGATCTAACAGTTCAATCTAGTACCTCTTCAACTTCACACAATGACTAAGCACTGAAAGTAAAATAGAAAAATCGTTATTAAGATGAGTTCTTTAAGGAGCACAAAAAGTGGATGACTCACTGTCCAGCTCTTGCTCTAGGATGTCTCTTCCCGACTCCAGGATCTGCCATAGCTCAAGATATGCATATCCCACTTCTTGACATTCTCTTTCTTGATCGATAGGATCACTCACCACTGTAAACTTTAGACTAAAAAAAAAAAAAGCAAAAAAGACCTCTGTTTAACTTAGCACAGCTGATCCTCCCACAGTTTAAGGATCAAAGTAATCGTAACATCACTTCTTCCCTGAAGCACCTTTCCCTCGCTGCCATTTTATAAGGCACCAGTGAAAAAGTGCAGAACTGGTACAGTTTGATTAAAGAGCAACGGCCTTCAGAGGGAGGAACGAGGTCCTCAAGATAGTGTAGTTGATGGATCGGCTCAGCCCCGGCCGTTGCAGCCATTTGGGGAGTGAGCCAGTGGGTGGAAGACCTCTGCCTCTTCTTCTGTCTGACTCTGTCTTTCAAATAAATAAAATCTTTAAAGAAAAAAAAAAAACTGTCAAGATGTAACTCCTAGTAAGACATACGGGCAGTGAAAGTGTTGTATAAAAACCACAGGAGCATGCGAATCAGGAGAGGTCTTCAATTTCTTTTTTTTTTTTTTTTTTTTTTTTTTTTTTTTTGACAGGCAGAGTGGACAGTGAGAGACAGAGAGAAAGGTCTTCCTTTTGCCGTTGGTTCACCCTCCAATGGCCGCCACGGCTGGCGCACTGCGGCCGGTGCACCGCGCTGATCCGAAGGCAGGAGCCAGGTGCTTCTCCTGGTCTCCCATGGGGTGCAGGGCCCAAGCACTTGGGCCATCCTCCACTGCCTTCCCTGGCCACAGAGGAGCTGACCTGGAAGAGGGGCAACCGGGACAGAATCTGGCGCCCCGACCAGGACTAGAACCCGGTGTGCCGGCACCGCTAGGTGGAGGATTAGCCTATTGAGCCGTGGCGCCGGCTCAAGGTCTTCAATTTCTAAATAAAAACTAAGCACCAAGCCCGAGCAGAGTCAAGGAAACAAGGGATGCAGAATTGTAAAATAAGTGCAGAAAGTGTATTCCTTGAAGTCGTGAGTCTTGCAAGATGAATGCATGTAGCACAGCGACAAACATGGCGAGTAGTCCCTAACAACGAGGATTAGCTCAACTTGGCTTTCACACTACCTTGACTTAGCAAATGAAACTGAATTCCAGAAACTGCTACCATCTACAATCTAATTCTATTAAATTTTTCAGGGCCGGCACTGTGGCGCAGCATGTTAATGCCCTGGCCTGAAACACCAGCATCCCATATGGGTGCCAGTTTGAGACCCAGCTGCTCCACTTCCAATCCAGCTCTCTGCTATGGCCTGGGAAAGCAGTAGAAGATGGCCCAAGTCCTTGGGCCCCTGCACCCAAGTGGGAGACCTGGAGGAAGTTCCTGGTTCCTGGCTTCCGATCAGCGCAGCTCCAGCCATTGTGGCCAATTGGGAGTGAACATCAGATGGAAGACTCTCTCTCTCTGCCTCTCCTCTCTCTGTGTAACTCTTTCAAATAAATAAATAAATAAATCTTTCAAAAAATATTTTTTGGTAAAATTCACTGTTTTAAATGCACAATTCAGTGTTTTTCAGTATAATCACATTGGCGTACAATCATCACTACTACCTATTTCCAGTGTATTTCATCACCCCCAAAAATAAACCCTGTGCCAGGTAAGCAATCACATACCCCATTCTCCCAGCTCTTGGCAACCACTCTCTCGCTTTCTGTTTCTCTGGACTTGCCCATTCTGTACATTCAGAGCCCTATTAGTTTTTAAAAAGCAACTGTTTTTGACTAAAGGAGTGCTAAAGAGAAGGAACAGGAATAAAATTTCAGGCACAAACACGGTTATGCCGACAACAAGGAATTATTGGAATGGAACATTCTCAGCCCATTAAACAACACTTATTTGTAATTGTGCCTCTATCATTACTGAGAACTTCAACAATGCAAAAGGATGATGCCAACTGCCCCACCCCAGCTTTCCCAGGAAAGGGATGGTAAACGGCATCACTGTATGCCAGCCATAATGCCAAGTGATTTATGTAAACTATAGTGTCTCAATTTTATTCTCACCAGAGCCTTCAAGGTAAATAATATTGCAAAGATCACAGAGCTAGCATGTGGAAGAATCAGGATCCAAAACCAGGGCTGCCTGGTTACCAAGCCAGTGTTCTGTCTGCGGTACCATCCTGACAACAAGAAAGTCAAAGGTGAAAAAGCTCTAGAAGTGAGTAGAAAAGGATTACCACTGGATGGAAACTGAGCATTCAGGAATGCCGAAGAGCAGCAGAGGCAAATGGGTGGGCAGTTGGCACAGCAGTTAGTATACGGCTTAGGATGTCGTGATCAGTCTGCTCTGCTCCCACTCCAGCTTCCCGCTAATGTGCACTCTGAGAGGCAGCAGCTGATGGCCCAAGTGCCTGTGTCCCTGCCATCCATTTGGAAGACCCAGACTGAATGCAGGGCTCCTGGCCTTGCCCTGCCCCAACCTTTGCTGTGTGGGCATGTGGGAAGTAAAACAGCAGATGGAAGATCTCTTTCAAATAAAATAAATAAACATTATTTAGGAAAATAAAAACTAAATTTAACATCAGCACAGAAGGGAAATGACCAAATTGCTTTCCATTTTCAAAAGTTATACCAGCAAGCTTCTATGTGATTAAGCCCACAGTGATATTGATGGAAGATTCACTATTCATTTCAGCTGGGTCCTTTTTCAGTCCTTTCCATGAATAACTGGAGACAAAATAAAATTAAATAAGACCATTGGGCATTTAGTAAAACAGTAGACTAAAACTCCAGCCATGTATTTCTTGCCTATACACATGCAGAGGAAGTAGCACTGTCAGATTTCAAAAACAAAAAACAAATTACTAATAGAAATAAATTTCAATTTCAGTGAAATAGTAATTTCTTTAGTGTAAGTACGTCTCATGCATTTTATCTGGAAACTCTAAAAGGTATACCTTCTCAGAGACTTCAGGCATAAGGACAATTGGCTTTCCTAAAACTCCAAGGGAGACCTAGAATTTTTTTTTTTTTTTTTTTAATTTGAGAGGCAGATAGAGAACCTCCATCTGCTGGTTTACCCCCTCAAATGCCCACAACAGCTGGGGCTGGGCCAGGCCACAAGCCAGGAGCCTGGAACTCAGTCTGGATCTTCTACTTGGGTGGCAGGGACCCAAGTCTATAAGCCATCACCTACTGCCCCCAGGGTGCGCATTAGCAGGAAGCTGGATCTGAAGCAGAGGAGCCAGGACTCAAATCCAGGCACACCGACCTAGGATGTGGGCATCCTTAGCGCTGCACCACACCCCTGCCCAAAACATCCCCGGGATGTACTGCGTTATACAAAATTCCAAATACTCCTGTAAATAAGTAACTTTAAAAATCTCAATACAAACTTAATGGCATTAAGGCATCATATGTGTTAAGCCAGCAACAGCACTGCGTGTAGGAGACATGAATCACACTATCTAAGAATGCCAGAGAATTTTGTTCATTCCATACAAATTCCAATCAAATAAGTTGCTGCAGAAAAAGTGCTTGCCAGGGGCTGGCATGGTGAGAAGTGAAGTAAACCTATGAGATCATCTAACCTTTCTGGTAGTCACAACCATAAATTAGACTCAAGTAGACAAGAAATTCAGTAAGAGCAAATTAATTTCCAAGGAAGTCATTAAAATATTCAGCATCGGCACAAAAGCAAACTCAGACTTTCAGGTTCCTGTCTGCATGTCTCCTCCCTCCTGGCGTGGGAAGCAGGTGCTTACTGTCCTTCCTCAGGATCTTGTCCAGTCAGCATAGTGAACAGAAACTGCCTCCGGCCCTGCTGCTCCAGGGGGTCCAGGTCTATCACTGCGTTAGGGGAAGAGAAAAAGCCACACAGTTGCTATTGGGCACCAAGACTTTCTTTCCTTTTTTTTTTTTTTTTTTTTTTTTTGAGAGGCAGAGTGGACAGTGAGAGAGACAGAGAGAAAGGTCTTCCTTTGCCGTTGGTTCACCCTCCAATGGCCGCCCGGAGCACTGCGGCCGGCGCACCGCGCTGATCCGATGGCAGGAGCCAGGTACTTTTCCCGGTCTCCCATGGAGTGCAGGGCCCAAGCACTTGGGCCATCCTCCACTGCACTCCCTGGCCACAGCAGAGAGCTGGCCTGGAAGAGGGGCAACCGGGACAGAATCCAGCACCCCAACCGGGACTAGAACCCTGTGTGCCGGCGCCGCAAGGCGGAGGATTAGCCCAGTGAGCCGTGGCCCCGGCCAACCAAGACTTTCTTAAGTGCTGTAAGTCCAAGAGTAATACAAAGCAGAGGCTGGCAAACAAGGGCCTGTGGTTAGCTACCTCTTTTATTAAACACGCTTGCCCATCCCATTCCATGTTGTCTATGGCTGCTTTTGAATGCCAATGGCAGGGCGGAATACTTGTAGCAAGGACTGTATGGCCCACAAAGCCTGAACTATTGGCTATCTGGCCCCTTAAGAGGAAGTGTATTGGTCCCTGATATAAAGGAAGCATTATGATCTGTGTTGAGAGATCTTCTGCCACTCGTCAAAATACACGACACTCCTTAGCCTGATTCTCCAGGGCCATGCAGAGATCTGGTTTTGAAGGAGCCTATCTCAATGTTGGGTTTTCCCTTCCTTTTTTTTTTTTTTTTTTGACAAGCAGAGTTACAGAGAGAGAGAGAGACAGAGAGAAAGGTCTTCCTTCAGTAGGTTCACCCCCCAGTGGCCGCTATGGCTGCCGCACTGTGCCAATCCGAAGCCAGGAGCCAGGTGCTTCTTCTGGTCTCCCATGTGGGTGCAGGGCCCAAACATTTGGGCATCTTCAACTGCCTTCCCAGGCCACAGCAGAGAGCTGGACTGGAGGAGGAGCAACTGGGACAGATTCCGGCGCCCCAACCAGGACTAGAACCCTGGGTGCCGGTGCCACAGGTGGGGGATTAGCCAAGTGAGCCACGGCACTGGCCCCTTCCTTCTCATTTTTAAAACTTCTTTAAAATGTATTCATTTATATTTATTTCAGAGACAGAGTGGGGAGGAGGGGCACCCAGCTACTGGTTTTACTCCCCAGAGGCATGCAACAATTGGGACTGGGCTAGGCCAAAGCTGGGATCTGGGAACTGAATCCAGATCTCCCTTGTGGGTGGCAGGGACCCGAGTCCCTGAGCCTACTGCCTCCCAGAGTGAAAAATTAACAGAAGCTGGAACCAGGAGCAGATCCAGAAATTGAACCTGGGCACCCTGGTGCACCTGGAAGGTACCTGGGTTCCCGCCACCCACGTCAGAGACCTGGAGGGAGGTCCTAGCTCCTGGCTTTGGCCTGGCTCAACTGAAGCTGTTGTGGGCATTTGGGGGTGAACCAATGGACTGAAATATCTCTACCTTCCTCCCTCTCTGTCACTCTGCCTTTCAAATACAAATAATAATAAAATTTTAAGAAATAAACTACCAGGGCCAGCGCTGTGGTATAGCAGGTTAAGCCGCTGCCTGCAGCGTCCACATCCCACATGGATACCAGTTCAAGTCCTGGCTGCTCCACCCCCAATACAGCTCTCTACTAATGTGCCTGGGAAAGCCATGAAGGATGAACCAAGTGCTTGGGCCTCTGCACCCACGTGGGAGACCTGAATGAAGCTCCTGGCTTTGACCTGGCCCACCATGTAAGCATTCTGAGGAGTGAACCAGCAGATGGAAGACCTTTGTCTCTCCCTTCCCTCTAACTCTGCCTTTCAAATAAATTAATCTGGGCCGGCGCCGTGGCTCAATAGGCTAATCCTCCACCTTGCGGCGCCGGCACACCGGGTTCTAGTCCCGGTCGGGGCGCCGGATTCTGTCCCGGTTGCCCCTCTTCCAGGCCAGCTCTCTGCTATGGCCAGGGAGTGCAGTGGAGGATGGCCCAGGTGCTTGGGCCCTGCACCCCATGGGAGACCAGGAAAAGCACCTGGATCCTGGCTCCTGCCATCGGATCAGCGCGGTGCGCCGGCTGCAGCGGCGGCCATTGGAGGGTGAACCAACGGCAAAGGAAGACCTTTCTCTCTCTGTCTCTCTCTCTCACTGTCCACTCTGCCTATCAAAAATAAATTAAAAAAAAAATTAAAAAAAAAATTTAAAAAAATTCAAATAAATTAATCTCCAAAAATAAAAATAAAACGTTAGCCACCTCATATTTTCCCATCTACATGTGATTAAATTCTGACAGTTATGTTGTGTGAAAGCTTATAAAGGTTGCTTAAAAGGCTCTGCTGAAAGGCCTTTCTTCATTTCCCTAGCAACCATTGAAGACCTTGGGGTAACCAAAAAGACGGAAGGCAGGTACTTGTCTGCCAGGGAGGCCAGATCAGAGTTTGGATTAGCAGGAAGATGGTTTGAAAGCAGAGTAGCCAGGATTCAAACCAGGCACTCCGACATGGGATGAGGGCACTGCTGCCAAACCCTGCCCCTTCAACATAGACTTCTACATCTGGTTTACTTATCAGCATCCTGAAGGGAGGAAAAAGATTTCATGCATGACTTTCTCAAAATATCTATTTCCTGAATGCCTTTTCTTTAAAAGCTACTGGAAAAGATGATCTGCTAAAATAACAAAATCGGGGCCAGTGTCAGGGTGCAGTAGGTTAAGACATGGCTTATGATGCCAGCATCCCAGATGAACACCAGTTAAAGCCCAAGTTGCTCTGCTTCCAATCCAGCTCCTTGCTGCTGTGCTGGGGAGAGCAGCAGAGTACGACCCAAGTGCTTGGGTCCCTGCCACCTATGTGGGAGACCAGGGTGGAGTTCCAGGCTCCTGGCTTCTGTCTGGCCCATCCTGGGCCATTGTGTAGATAAACCAGCAGATGGAAGATTGTGTGTGAGTGTGTATGTGTGTGTGTGTGTCCCTCTCTGTTGTTCTGCCTTTCAAATAGATATTTTTTAAATGTAAGAAAATAAGTCAGAGGATGATATAGGACCAGGAAACAGGAAGCCCAGAATGGGGGAGAATTAAATCAAATCTTCAGAGGGCAACAGCTAAACAGTGGACTAGAGAGGAGCATCTTGGTCTTCAGGGAAAAGTGGATAAACAGATGAAACACTTAGCAGGTCTCATTATCAGAAGATTTAGAAAGGCTGTTTGAGGCTGTGAGGAGCACTGCTAATAGGTGTAATGAAAATAAAGTGAGAAACTGAAGCAAACTAAACAAGAAAGGACACATTAGCACCACATACCACTTGTCTCTGCAAGAGCTAGTATTTACATATCTATAAGAACAAAACTCTAATTGGTTTAGATGAAAATTATGATCCAATTACATGTGAGCAAAGAGACCTAGGTGTGATGTGAAGGAGCTACATTTTATAGTTCAAGGTAGGAAGTCAGCAGGAATTGTCCAAAAACGTTGAACAGGCACATGGCAATGGACACAGAATCAGAAGATGGTAGTGGGGCAGGGAGAGCAATAGGTGGAGAAAGGGTGGGCAAAGGACGGTATGATTTTCATTGAAGTCTTTCCAGGCTTCTTTGATACTTCTAAATTTTTTTCATTGTATTTTAAAGGTAAAGAGACAGGGAGAGACTTTCCACTTGTTGTTCATTCCTCAAATGTCTGCAACAGCCAGGAGCCAAGAACTTCACTGGAGCCTCCCACATGGGTGGCAGGAACCTAAATACTTGAACCATCATCCAGTCCATCCTAGGACTCACATTAACAGGAAACAGGACGGAAGTGCAGCCGCGGCGCCGGCACACCGGGTTCTAGTCCTGGTCGGGGTGCCGGATTCTGTCCCGGTTGCCCCTCTTCCAGGCCAGCTCTCTGCTGTGGCCAGGGAGTGCAGTGGAGGATGGCCCAAGTGCTTGGGCCCTGCACCCGCATGGGAGACCAGGAGAAGTACCTGGCTCCTGCCTTCGGATCAGCGCGGTGCGCCGGCTGCAGCCCACCGGCTGCAGTGGCCATTGGAGGGTGACCCAATGGCAAGGGAAGACCTTTCTCTCTCTCTTTCACTGTCCACTCTGCCTGTCAAAAAAGAAAAGAAAGAAAGAAAAGAAAAAGAAACTGGACTGAAGTGGAGCCAGGACTCGAACCCAAGGACTCTGACACAAGACAAGGGCATATCCCATACCTATCTCTCCTATCTCTGCTTTTCAAATAAATCTTTAATAAACAGGGGCTGGCGTTATGGCCCAGCAGGTTAATGCCCTGGCCTGCAGTGCCAGCATCCCATATGGACATCGGTTCGAGACCTGGCTGCTCCACTTCCGATCCACCTCTCTGCTATGGCCTGGGAAAGCAGTAGAAGATGGCCCAAGTCGTTGGGCCCCTGTACCCGCCTGGGAGACCTGGAAGAAGCTCCTGGCTTTGGATCGGCACAGCTCCAGTCGATGTGGCCAATTGGGGAGTGAACCAACGGATGGAAGCCCTCTCTCTCTCTCTCTCTCTCTCTCTCTCTCTGCCTCTCCTCTGTGTAACTCTTTTGAATAAATAAATCTTTTTTTTTTAAAAAAAAAAAAGGAAGAAAGAAAAGAAAACGGTTGGACACAGCCCACCAGACACCCAGCACAGTTCCAACCCTCAGTCTGCACAGGTATCAGCCTCCCGGCCCCGTAAACCACACAGCGAGCCTTCCTTACCCTTGCTGAAATGGAAGTGGATTTCCTCTCCAGCCCTTGGCTTCCTCAGGGATATTGGTGTCTCCGTCTCTGACCAGGGCAGATCACAGAACCTATACTCCACGTACACCTGCTTTATGTTCTCATCAAACATCACCTCAGCCTCCTCGTTGAAGGCCAGAGAGACAATCTCAATGCACATCTTCTCTGAATCCTGGCAAGGAAGACATTTCCTGAAGGTCAGCGAGATTCCAAGCCTTCACTCCACCCTAACACAACTGACTGCACTGCCACAGCTACTTATGTTACGATTCATAAATTTTAAGAACTTATATGGAAATTTTTAATAAATTTTATAAATCTATAAGGAGAATCCAGGAATTCTCTCTACCAGCACAGTGAATCATTTCTGCAGTTCAGCCTTTCTTGATCATCTCTAAATGGAGAACAAATCAAGAAAATAAATGTCTGGGGGCCAGTGCTATGGTGCAGTAGATTCAAGTTCCGGCTGCTCCACTTGCGAAAAGCAGAAGATGGCCCAAGTGCTTGGGCCTCTGCACCATGTGGGAGACCTCAAAGAAGCTCCTGCCTCCTGATTAGCCCACCTCCAGCCATGTGACCATTTGGGGAGTGAACCAGCAGATGGAAGACCTCTCTGTCTCTCCATTTCTCACTGTAACTCAGCCTCTCAAATAAATAAATCTTAAAAAAAAAAAAAAAAAAAAAAGCCGGCGCCGTGGCTCAATAGGCTAATCCTCCACCTTGCGGCGCCGGCACACCGGGTTCTAGACCCGGTTGGGGCGCCGGATTCTGTCCCGGTTGCCCCTCTTCCAGGCCAGCTCTCTGCTATGGCCAGGGAGTGCAGTGGAGGATGGCCCAGGTGCTTGGGCCCTGCACCCCATGGGAGACCAGGAAAAAGCACCTGGATCCTGGCTCCTGCCATCGGATCAGCGCGGTGCGCCAGCTGCAGCGGCGGCCATTGGAGGGTGAACCAACGGCAAAGGAAGACCTTTCTCTCTCTGTCTCTCTCTCACTGTCCACTCTGCCTGTCAAAAAAAATTAAAAAAAAAAAAAAAAGTCTGAGCAGATAGTTCCTCCCCCCCCCCCCAACTTTCTCAGTGAAAAACCAATCCAGCATTTGCTGGAGATCAGGGTAGACTGACAGTGGAGATTTAGTAGCCTTCAGCCACCATAGTGGGGAGCTGCCCGGTGCTTCCTAAGTACATGCCACGGAGGAGGCCACCAGACCACCCCACTGCCACCACAGTAGCACTACTACTTTTTTTTTTTTTTTGACAGGCAGAGTGGACAGTGAGAGAGAGAGACAGAGAGAAAGGTCTTCCTTTGCCGTTGGTTCACCCCACCCAATGACCACTGCGGCCGGCGCTCAGCGCTGAGCTCAGCGCTGATCTGAAGCCAGGAGCCAGGTACTTATCCTGGTCTCCCATGCAGGTCCAGGGCCCAAGGACTTGGGCCATCCTCCACTGCCTTCCCGGGCCACAGCAGAGAGCTGGCCTGGAAGAGGGGCAACCGGGACAGAATCTAGCACCCTGACCGGGACTAGAACCTGGTGTGCCGGCGCCACAGGCGGAGGATTAGCCTATTGAGCTGTGGCACCAGCCACTACTACTTTCAACTCCACTTCAGGCTCACTGCCACTACTGCTGCCATCCTCTCTCTTGATTGCCCCTGTGTCCACACCGGCATTAAGCCTACAACGACGAGGCTGACATTTCTCTAGTGTCCGGAAGTATACTTAGGCCAGTCTAAGTCCCCTCCTTGTGTAGTGGCAGGAAGTCAGTGTCACGCCCCTTGCAATGAGTCGATCCAGAATGGCGTCCTGCCAGCCACGGCGCTCCCTTTCATCTCTGAGTGTCCTGTGGGCTTCCTTCCTCCAGGATGCCAGGCCAGTGCCCTTGTTCTTCAGAGACCCGTTCCCCACCCTGTCTTTTCTCCCTTTCAGAAGCAAGCGGAGCTCCTGTGCCTTCTCCTAACTCAGCAGGCAAGATTGCCAGTGAGACTACAGACAGATTCATCTGGGTGGAGATATTTGTTGTTTTCCTCTCAGTTTGCAAACAACTGGCTGTACCATGTTTTCCAAAATGTGGATTTTGATACTTTGTTGGGCCAGCTGATCAGCTTTTAATGAAAGAATAAAATCGGGAGAGGATAGAATACAATAGACCACACTGTCGCTCCCCCTCTTCATGGGGGAACGACACTAAGCCCTGCCTAGGCTTCATATCCGAGTCACGGCACCATTATGTCGCTCCCCGTCTTCGTGGAGGAACGACACAGGACCCTGCGTTGTTCTTTCGTCTGCTCGGCCCTCCCCGGGTTTGCTGCTGGTTCTTCCCGGGTTGGCTGCTGGTCCTTCCTGGGTTGGCTACCGTCCCTTCCACCTCCGTGGAAGGGCGGTTCCCCCTGCCACATTCCCCACTTCCGCAGGGGAGCGGCACACCGCCGGCCGGCTCTCTCGGGGGCTGCACAGGTGTTCCTTCAGATAGATGTTCCTCTTAGATGTTCCTGGTGCATGTTGTCTCTCTCCTCCTTTATAGTCCTCTCCACCAATCCCAACTCTGCTACCCACACGCCGAGTACGCTGCTCTCCTCCAATCAGGAGCAGGTCCCACAGTTTATTGGTTGAACTGGAGGCAGCTGTGTAGAAGCTGTTTCCCTTCTCAGCGCCATATTGTGGGAAAGCAGATGCATAGAATAAGTCTTAATTCCAGTAACTTAGTCTAGTCCGAGTTGCTCCCAGTTGCTCCCCACACCACACATAATAGTGCATTACATAGCACCTCCTTGTATACTTTTGGCAACTACTTACAAATAGTTATCACAAAATAAGTTTTTTAAAAACAATAATATTGGAGCAGACATTGTGGTGCAGCAGGCTAAACACCGCCTGCCATGCAGGCATCCCATGTGAGAGCCAAGTCAAGTACCAACCACTTTGCTTCCAATCTAGCGCCCTCTAAGGTGCCTGGGAAAGCAGCAGGGGATGGCCCAAGTACTTCCACTGCTCTCCCAGGCACCTGTTTAGGATGCCGGCACTGGCCACAGCCCCAGCCCCATTATTTTTAATATTCTAGATTTTATGGGAAAAATGTGTTCCTGCTTTATTCATAGTTTAATTTCTAAAATTTGATTCAAAATATGTATTTCTGGAGCTCGTGTTGTGGTGTTGCAGGTAAAGCCGTTGCCTCTAACGCCCGCATCCTCTATGGGTACCAGATCGAGTTCAGGCAGTTCCACTTCCAATACAGCTCCCTGCTAATGGTGCTGAAAAGCAGCAGATGGTCCAAGTACTTGGGCCCCTGTCACTCATGTAGCAGCAGACCCAGATGAAGCTCCTGGCTTTGGCCTGGCCCAGCCCCAGCCACTGGGGCCATCTTGGGAGTGAACCAGCAGATAGAAGATCTCTGTCTCTCTGAAACTCTGATTTTCAAAATATTTTATTTTAAAGATTTATTTATTTGAGAGGTAGAGTTACAGACAGAGAGAGGCCTTCATCTGCTGGCTCACTCCCCAGATGGTTGCGATGGCAGGAACTGGGCCAGTCCAAAGCCAGGAGCTTCTTCCGGGTCTCCCACATCAGTGCAGGGGCCCAGGGTCATCTTCTCTACTCTCCCAGGCCACAGCAGAGAGCTGGATCAGAAGAGGCACAGCTGGGCCTCAAACCAGCACCCATATAGGATGCTGGTGCTGCAGACCTAGGCTTGGTCCATTGTGCCACAGCGCTGTCCCCTCAAAATCTTTTAAAAATACATATGTTTTATTTGAAAGGGATGGAAGGAAAGAGAGAGAAAGATAGTTCACTGCTGAAATGCCCCAAACCACCAGGGCTGGGCTAAACCAGAAGCCTAGAACTCAATCAGGCTGTCCCATATAGGTGTCAGGAACTCGGATAGTTCAGCCATCACCTGCTGCCTCCCAGGCTGTGTCTGAGCCTCACTGACTGTCTCAGCGGGTGTGCTTGCTTTAGCAGGAAGCTAGAATCGGGAATAGAGCTGGGACTTGAAGCCAAGTACTCTGATGTGGGAATGTGGGCATTCCAAGCAGTGCCTTAACTACTGTGCCAAACACTGCTCACAATTTTGAAAATTTTAAACTTGCTAATAATGCTAGGGCAACGATCAGAAATCCATATTTAGGGCCGGCGCCGTGGCTCACTAGGCTAATCCTCCGCCTTGCGGCGCCGGCACACCAGGTTCTAATCCCAGTTGGGACACCGGATTTTGTCCCGGTTGCCCCTCTTCCAGGCCAGCTCTCTGCTGTGGCCAGGGAGTGCAGTGGAGGATGGCCCAGGTGCTTGGGCCCTGCACCCCATGGGAGACCAGGATAAGTACCTGGCTCCTGCCATCGGATCAGCGCGGTGCACCAGCCGCGGCGGCCATTGGAGGGTGAACCAATGGCAAAAAGGAAGACCTTTCTCTCTGTCTCTCTCTCTCACTATCCACTCTGGCTGTAAAAAAAAAAAAAAAAAAAAAAAAAAAAAAAAAAAAAGATAAACTTAAAAAAAAAAGAAATCCATATTTATGCAGACTGCATCAAGCTTACATTGATAACAAAGGTAAATGAGGAAGAGGAATCAGATTAAATCTGGGCCAAGTATGACATGGAGCCTTTACTTATTCTTATGACACTGAACTCTGCAAAATTGACAATTTTAATCATTTTTGCCTGTACAAATATATGTATCTTTGATCCAGAATTCTTTTTTTTTTAATAAATGAAACTCAGGAGATTTTTTTTTTATTTGAAATACAGAGTTACAGAGAGAGTTCTTCCATCCGATCGTTCACTCCCCAGATGACCACAACTGCTGGAGCTGTGATGATCCGAAGCCAGGAGCCAGGCGTTTATTCCTGGTCTCCCATGTGGGTGCAGGGGCCCAAGAACTCGGGCCATCTTCCACTGCTTTCCCAGGCCACAGCAGAGAGCTGGATCAGAAGAGGAGCAGCCAGGACTAGAACCGGCGCCCATATGGGATGCCAGAGCTTCAGGCCAGGGCGTTAACCAGCTGCGCCACAGTGCCGGCCCCCCAGAATTCTTTATATAAACTGATTCCATTATACCATTTTATCGGTACTGAACATCAAAAAAGGGGATCCAATGAGTAATGTTATCCACTGGAATATAGAACTTGCTGGAAGAACTCTTGAGAGCAGTGAGCTACGCAGCGTTAGGACTCTGCTAGCTCAGATGTGCTAGTCAATTTGGCTGGGAGTAGGGGTTGCTAAAATTAACTAGCCACATACCCAAGGAGGAGGACACCCCAACACCTGAAAGAATGTGAGAGCAAGTCTTGAGAATCTCAATGCACACTAGTGCTGCAGATGCCGCGGAGTGAATGCGAGTGATTGCTCCCGTCTCGTTAGCAGGGATTCAGACGAGCATGGAGAAGTCTGCTATGCTTCACTGAGAGCGGGAGAATGAGCCATAGAAAGGCATGCTATGCGGAGGCTCCCGTGTGGCTGGACTGAGAGCTTTCCCCAAGAGTCTTAGAGGGCTGATACGCACAGAGGGCCTTTAGGAAGCTTGTGCCAACTCCCAGAGCCTCCTGGGAAACAGTCACATACATCCTACACACACAGGAGCTGCCCTAATCTTGGACGCAAAGAGACAGATAAGGAGCCTTATGTATCGTGATTACTTTTTAGCTGTTAAGGAAGACATTTAGGAAAAGTGTCTGTCTCTCTATGTATATAGACAGATATAGAAATTTACTTATTTTTAGTATTTATTTTTAAAATTTGAAAGGCGGTGGTGGGGGAATCAATCTTCTATCTACTGGTTCACTCCCCAAATGACTGTAACAGCCCAGTATGGACCAGGCTGAAACCAGGAGCCAAGAACTCCACTCTGGTCTCCCACGTGGGTGACAAGGGCCCAAGTCCGTGGGACATTTTCTGCTTCCTTCCCAGGTTCATTAGCAGGAAATTAATTCATAAGTGGAAGAGCCAGGATTCAAACTGGCACTTGGATATGGGATGCAGATGTCCTAAGCAGTGGCTTAAGCCACAATGCCAGACCCAGATTATAGGTTCCTTATCTTGAGGACTGAAACAGCTCAGATAAGATAGACAACTGCCATCATCCACATCATTATCACTATCACTCAGTCCTTAAGTGTCTGAGGCAGTGTACTGAACCCTTACTTAAATCTTGCCACATCACTACAAGGTAGGCATGCTTCACGTTACCCTTCTACAGGGGAGGAAGCAAAGCCTAACAGAGGTTAAACACCAAAAGCTCCATGGCCAGTAAGCAGCAGAACCCGGGGCTACACACTCCTGTCTGTGTTTTCAAAAGTTACACTCTAGGCCAGCGCCATGGCTCAATAGGCTAATCCTCCGCCTTGCGGCGCTGGCACACCAGGTTCTAGTCCCGGTCAGGGCGCAAGATTCTGTCCCGGTTGCAGTGGAGGATGGCCCAAGTCCTTGGCCCTGCACCCCAAGGGAGACCAAGAGAAGCACCTGGCTCCTGGATTTGGATCAGCATGATGTGCCGGCCGCGGTGGCCATTGGAGGGTGATCCAATGGCAAAAGGAAGACCTTTCTCTCTCTCTCTCACTGTCCACTCTACCTGTCAAAAAAAAAAAAAAAAAAAAAAAAAGGAAAGAAAGAAAGAGAAAGTTACACTCTACTGCCTCCTCCATTTTCCTGGCTAACCCCAGGTAGAAGAATGACAGCTCAAGCGTTGACTTCAGCCCTCTGGCTGAAGCATGATAATAATTTTTTACTTTTTTTTTTTTTTTTTTTTTTGACAGGCAGAGTGGACAGTGAGAGAGAGAGAGAGAGAGAGAAAGGTCTTCCTTTTGCCGTTGGTTCACCCTCCAATGACCGCCGCGGCTGGCGCACCGCGCTGATCCGATGGCAGGAGCCAGGTACTTATCCTGGTCTCCCATGGGGTGCAGGGCCCAAGCACTTGGGCCATCCTCCACTGCACTCACTGGCCACAGCAGAGAGCTGGCCTGGAAGAGGGGCAACCAGGACAGAATCCGGCGCCCCGACCAGGACTAGAACCCGGTGTGCCGGCACTGCAAGGCGGAGGATTAGCCTAGTGAGCTGCGGCACCGGCTAATTTTTTACTTTTTCAATAATAAGTACATGCCTGTGCTTTGAGTTTAATTTGACAATAACACTAATTTCTTTGCTTGAGTAGGGTTTTTTTTTTTTTTTCAAACTTCTCAATACTTCCAGGTACACAAAGATTCATTTCCTAAAAGGAATTCTTACTGAGGAATCTTAAGGATATTTTTAAATGTAATCTGCCCGACTGGTCAAAGCTCAAAAGTCTGCTGATCTGCTGAGAGGTGGCATGGTGGAGAAAGCTTGACTGGAGTTCCAGCTCATTCACCACCTAACTCTGTAATCCCGAGCCCATCACTTGATCTTCCTCACAGTAATAACATCTAATGTGCTATCTAATTCTAACATTCTGGAGCTCTACTCTATTTCGTACGTATTTCTCAAGATACTAGCTGAATAATGTCTTTTAAAAAGATATGTTGGCCAGCACTGTGGCTCACTAGGCTAATCCTCCGCCTGTGGCACTGGCACCCCAGGTTCTAGTCCCAGTTGGGGCGCCAGATTCTGTCCCAGTTGCTCCTCTTCCAGGCCAGCTCTCTGCTGTGGCCCAGGAGGACAGTGGAGGATGGCCCAAGTCCTTGGGCCCTGCACCCGCATAGGAGACCAGGAGGAAGCTCCTGGCTCCTGGCTTCGGATCGGCACAGCTCTGGCCGTTGTGGCCAATTGGGGAGTGAACCAGCGGATGGAAGACACCCCCCCCCCCCCGCCTCTCCTTCTCTCTGTGTAACTCTGACTTTCAAATAAATAAATGTTTTTAAAGAAAAACTAAATAATTACAGAGCAGGTTAAAAAAATGTGGAAATTGAATAATCTCTGAGCCCTTCCATGAAGAATCCTTTCTTCTCTTTCAGCTTCTACTTCTCAAAGTAAACCTGTTCTCCTTAGGCAGATGTTGGGAGAGTGGAGTTAATCAGGCTCCCTCGCTGTCATGGCACCCAGCAAGCCTGAAAACTAGTATGCTTTCTGCTAGTCATAGAGCCCAGACACCGATACAGTTCTGCCCTGCAGTTTCTTGGCAACCTGCCATTGTTGTCTGTAAAGCATATGTAAGAAGCTGAGGGCAGAGCTGGCTGCAAATCTCTTTTGCATGTGTTTCTTGTGTGCTTTCACTGCCATTGCAAGTATACAGAGGTATGAATCCCCCAAAAGGCTCTGAAGTGGTTCCATGGCCTGTCAGAATTGGAACCCGGGGGCCGTACTGTGGCACAGTATGTAAAGCCTCTGCCTGTGGCACTGGCATCCCATATGGGCATTGGTTTGGTTCAAGACCCAGCTACTCCACTTCCAATCCAGCTCCCTGCTAATGTGCCTAGGAAAACAGTGGAGGATGGCCCAGGTGCTAGAGCCCCTGCACCCAGATGGGAGACCTAGAGGCGGCTCCTGGCTTCAGATCGGCCCAGGTCAGGAATGAACCAGTGGATGGAAGGTATCTCTCTCTCTCGCTCTCCCTCTGTAACTCTGCTTTTCAAATAAATAAATAGATTAAAAAAGAAGAAGCTGCTGCTCCTGGCTTCAGATTGGCTCAGCTCTGGCCATTGTAGCCATCTGGGTAGAAAACTAGTAGATGAAAGACCTCTCTGTACCTCTGTCTCTCAAATAAGTAAATAAACCTTTAAAACAAAATAAAAAACAGAACGGAATCTGAACCTGTCCTTCTTGGAACTGAACTGCTACAAAAGAGCAGATTTATCGACAGGCAACACCGCTCAGGCTGGGCATAAATCACAGTGTACAGTGAATACGAGAGCAAGAGCTAAGCCAGGGATTTGAGTAAGAGAAAGAAGTGCTGAGGCGAGTCACCACTGACAGCAAATCAAGAAAAGAATCCGTTCGTCAGACTTGCATTCGCAGGTCATGTTATTGCAAATGCTTAACTTGCATTTCCCATAAGGCTCATTAAAACTGGGTTTTTAACCATGGCCACAGCCACTGCGCACAACTGCTATTTTTTTTTTTTTTTTTGACAGGCAGAGTGGACAGTGAGAGAGAGAAAGGTCTTCCTTTGCCGTTGGTTCACCCTCCAATGGCCGCCGCAGCCGGCGCACCGCGCTGATCCGATGGCAGGAGCCAGGTGCCTTTCCTGGTCTCCCATGGGGTGCAGGGCCCAAGCACCTGGGCCATCCTCCACTGCACTCCCTGGCCACAGCAGAGGGCTGGCCTGGAAGAGGGGCAACCAGGACAGAATCCGGCACCCCGACTGGGACTAGAACCCGGTGTGCCGGCGCCACTAGGCGGAGGATTAGCCTAGTGAGCCGCGGCGCCGGCTGCACAACTTCTATTATTTACACGCAGCGATGCTGCAGGGTACTTACTGCTTTGGGACATTTCTCAGATACGGGTGGCACCACGACGTCATCGCTGTCTGTCGTCTGTGCTTCACTGACTTCAGAAGCTTGATCACAGGATTCTGCATCTGCCATGGGAGAGGCTGGAGTCAGTTTCAAAGCTCTGTCTAGCCCGCGCAAAGACCCGGGGCCCACATCTCTGATCCACTGAAGAACCGAACCCTCTCTTTCAAAGGTTCGCTTATTCAGAAGCTTGCCAAACTACAGAGGCTTGCTTCTGGGGGAAAAGGGGGGGGGGGAGGCAAAAGAAGAAAGAACAGAAATGAGGAAGGGAGACAGGGAGGAAGTCTCTTGTAGTGGCTGAAGAAAGTGATGACGCAGAGGAAAAGCGGTGAAATCAGGTGTGGCAATTGATGGCTTCAAATAGTCTCTCCCACCCACTGAGTTCTTACAATGTGACCTTGACACTTCTATTGAGAGGGGAGGTCTATGCCACCTCCCTTTCCACTGACATGGGTTTCTGTGACTGCTTCAACCCAGAAGATGGCAGGAGTGACTGCTATGTGACTTCTATGCCACGCACTTACGCCTTGTCTTCAGACTCGCTGTTGGACCCTGGCCACTCAGCCGTGAGGAAATCCAAGCAACGTCTAGAGGGTGCACCTCAGAGCAGCTGAGGCTTCAGGCCTACAGCTGCTGCTGTGCTCCCAAATGGCAGCCGGAACCGATTGGGCAGCCGATAGAGTGAGGCATCTTACCAAAGAAATCCCTCAGGCCCCTGGCTAGGTTACCACACTGGATGCCATGTGAAGGAGAAGTGACCCTTACCCATGAGACCTGCCCAAATTGCACATTAGTGACCCAAAGTAATGACCATTGTCATTTTAAGTCACTAAGGTTTTATTTTGTTTTAATTTCCATGGCTTCATTTGCTATTAAAATAATAACTTTGTAACTGAGTGAGTGGAGCTGGTGCTGTGGCATAGCGGGTAAAGCCACACTGCCCATGTAGGTGCTGGTTCAAGTCCCAGTTGCTCCACTTCCAATCCAGCTTTCTGCTGTGGCCTGGGAAAGCAGTGGAAGATGGCCCAAGTGCTTGGGCTCCAACAACCACGTGAGAGACCTGGAGGAAGCTCCAGTCATTGTGGCCATTTAGAGAGTAAATCAGCAAATGAAAGAGATCTCTCTCTGCCTCTCTGTAACTCTGCCTTTCAAATAAGTAAATAAATCTTAAAATATATATATATATATATATATATATATACACATATATAACAATGAGTTAGGAAGCTTTGTTCCTTCTATTTACTGACATACACTGAAAAGTCAGCATCATTTTTTCCTTAAATATTGATAGTATTCACTAATGAAGTCATCTGGGCCTATATATATATTTTTTAAGATTTATCCATTTATTTGAAAGGCAGAGTCATAGAAAGACAAAGACAGAGAGAGAGAGAGAGGGACTCCATCTACTGGCTCACCCACAAATGGCCTCAATAGCAAGAGCTGAGCCCATCCAAAGCCAGGAGCCTCCTCCAGGCTTTCCACGGGGGTCCTTGGGCCCAAGAACTCGGGTCATCCTCCACTGCCCTCCCAGGTCACAGCAGAGAGCCAGATCAAAAGTGGTACAGCTAGTACTAAACGAGTATCCACATGGGACACTGGCACCACAGGCACCAGCCCTCCATAAATTTAAGGATTTATTTTGTTTATTGGAAACAGTTACAGAGAGCGGTTGAGAGAGAAAGGCCTGGGTTTTCTTGTTGTGGAGAACTTCTAATTCCCAGTTCACTGTTTTTACTTCTTATAGGTCATCATAATCTGTTTATTCATGAGTCAGTTTCAATAATTTTTTTTAAAAGGTTGAGGCAGGTCTGATCCTCATTGGTTGACCTTCTTATTTTTATTTTTTTATTTTTGACAGGCAGAGTGGACAGTGAGAGAGAGAGACAGAGAGAAAGGTCTTCCTTTGCCGTTGGTTCACCCTCCAATGGCCGCCGCGGCTGGCGCACCGCACTGATCCGATGGCAGGAGCCAGGAGCTTCTCTTGGTCTCCCTTGGGGTGCAGGGCCCAAGCACTTGGGCCATCCTCCACTGCACTCCCTGGCCACAGCAGAGAGCTGGCCTGGAAGAGGAGCAACTGGGACAGAATCCGGTGCCCCGACTGGGACTAGAACCTGGTGTGCCGGCGCTGCAGGCAGAGGATTAGCCTATTGAGCCGCGGTGCCGGCCAGTTTCAAAAATTTTAATCTTCTTAGGAACATGTCTAAGTTGCTTGCATAAAGTTGTTCATAATATTCTTTTACACATTCATCCTCGGTTTTGCTGTGCCTTCACTCCTTTTTCCTTAGTCTGCCTACCAACTGCCCATTTATTGCTTCTCAGCTCCTTCATTGCCTGCTCGGCAATCGTAAGGCTGAGCTCTGTAAATATTTCTCCTTTGTGAAATGGCACCATGTGAAGCTTTGCCAACAGAGGGCACTGAAGAATCACTGGAGGAGGAGAGGGTTTCTCTTCCGATTCCTGTCTGTTTATTTGGGCAGGATCCCGGAGCAGATATGAATTCCTGCAACCCAGGGCTTGGCGACAGTTCCTGTGGCCAGTAGGCTCATGACACCTCCCCACAGGTAGTTCACAGGTACCTTTGGGAGCGGGGTGGAGGTGAAATGCACCTGGGTTGGCCCTTCTCCTTGTACAGTTTACTCCCAGCATCTCAGGTACATCCACAGCAAACTTCTGTGCCATTCAGCGAGATGTAACTGCACATTCGCAGTGAGGCCTGGATATCAACCCTAAAGGAGTTGGCTCCAGATCTGTGTCTTCCTTGGGTGCTCAATCACAGCTCTGTATTCCTCAGAGTTACCTTTACTTCTTAGTAGTCAGTCCCCTTGTTATAATTCTTTATACTAATCTCTTCAAATGACTACATAGCTTCTCTCTCCTGGCTAGATCTTAACTACTGTAGTCATTCTAGATGTAGGCTGACCTGCAGCCATACCGCTCTGAACGTGTCCCATCTCGTCTAGATCCAGGCTTATCAAGCCTGTCTATCTTCTCATTTTCTCCATTCTTTTCTGTTTTCGATTTCACCGATTTCTGCTCTATAACTGGCTCAGCTCCAGCTGTTGCAGCCATTTGGGGAATGAACCAGCAGATGGAAGACCTGTCTTTCTGTCTTTCCTTCTCTCTGTAACTCTGCCTCTCAAATAAATAAATCATTAAAAAAAAAAAAAAAAGGCAGAGACAGATCTTCCATCTGCTGGTTCACTCCCCAAAAGGCCTTAATAACCAGGGCTGGGCCAGCTGGAAGCCAGGAGCTTCTTCCAGGTCTCCCACATGGGTTGCAGGGGCTTAAAGACTTGGGCCATTTTCTTCTGCTTTCTCAGGTGCATTAACGGGGAGCTGGATGGAAAGAGGAACAGGGGACTCCAACCAGCACCGTTATGGGATGCCCACATTGTAGGCGGTCGGCTTTATCTGCTATGCCACAATGCTGGCCCATCTGCTTTCATTTTCATACATTTCAACATAATTGCTAATATTCCTTAGTATTTCTTCTTTGATACATGGGTTTTTTACAAGTGTGTAAGTTACATACTAAGTATTTTCTATTGTCTGAATTAACAGAAATTCATGGCTGCTCTAACACAGTTTCACAAACATGGTAAACAAGATTAGCCTCCGAATTTTCTGGCCTCAATTCCACGATTAAGGTGTTGGCTACTTCATGCTTCCTCTAAAGGATCTAAGGGACAATCCAATCTTTCCTGTGTTCCTTACCTTTCCAGTTTCTGGTGGCTCCAGGCGATGGAACAAAGATGTAAGCCTCAGAGCCATTTTGTCTCCTTGTCCGAAAACAGATCCAATCCCCAAGGGACTCTCTAGCCCCTGCATTCTTTCACAACCAGCTCAATTCCACGCCTTGTATTTTCCCCAACCCACCCTCTGCTTTCTTTTCCAACTAAGGCCCACCAAATTTGAAAAGCCCCCAAAAAGCTTGTACAAACCAGAGCAGCTCTGCCACTGCCCACCCTTTTAGACCCTTAGGTACTAGAAGCTATATAAATCCCAGCCTGCCTGAGATGGCACAAGTAAACTACTTGGGCCCCTGCTACCTACATGGGAAACCAGAAGAAGCTCCTGGCCCTTGGCTTCGGCCTGGCCCAGCCCTAGCCATTGTGGCCACCAGCAGATGGAAAATCAGGCCTTGTTTCCTCTCCTCCTCTCCTTCCCTCCCTCCTTTGTTCTTTCCTTCCTCTCCCTTTCTGTCCCCCTCCCTCTCTCTGTAACTATGCCTTTCAAATAAAAAAATTTAAAAAATTAAAATTAAAAAAAAAAACCTGCCTCCATGTCACATTGTGTCCTTCTCTCCTGTGTGTGTCTCTTACAAGACATTTGTCACCAAATTGAAGGACCACTTGGATAATCTAGGATGATCTCAAGATTGTTAACCTAATAGCATGTGCGAAGACTTTCTTTTTAAATACCATTTGCAGGTTCTGCAGGACACAGACATATCATCAATCCACTATTTTTTTATCTATTATCCACTATTATTTATCTTTCATCCATCATTCACCTATTCTTAAAATATGATTCAGTTTTTTAAAATAAAGTTTATCTGGGGCTGGTGCTGTGGCATAGCAGGTAAAGCTGCCGCCTGCAGTGCCAGCATCCCATATGAAAGCTGGTTCAAGTCCCAGCTGCAATACTTCTGATCCAGCTCTTTGCTATGGCCTGGGAAAGCAGTAGAAGACAGCCCAAGACCTTGGGCCCCTGCACCCACGTGGAAAAACCCGGAGGAAGCTCCTGGCTCCTGGTTTCGGATGGGCACAGCTCTGGCCATTGCAGCCAATTGGGGAGTTAACCAGTGAATGGAAGAGCTCTCTCTCTCTCTGCCTCTCTCTCCTTCCTTCTCTGTAACTCTTTCAAATCTATTTTTATTTTATTTGAAAAGCAAAGACAGAGTTCTCCTATTTGCTAGTTCACTCCCCAAATGCCTGCAACAGGCAGGTTTGAACTAGGTGGAAATCAGGAGCCAGGAACTCAAACTGACTTTCCCACATGGGTGGAAGGGACATAAGTACTTGGGTAATCAATTACATTGGGAGGAAGCTGGAATGGAGAGCAGGACAGGAATTCAAACCCAGGTACTTCGACATGGGATGTGGATATCCCAAGTGACAGCAGGACTGCTGTGCCAAATGCCCATCAATTTAAATCCTGAAAATATTTAAAATGCCACAAGCTGATGTTTTTGTTTCATACACTCATTTACGTTAATCCATATTCTTTGCATTTAACTCCTTGCTGCATCTTTGTGTTTCCTTCTGGAACAAATTTCCTTCAGCCAAAAGAACCACCTTTGCATTCTCTTTAGTGTATGACATAGTGGCAAACACTCCATTCTGGTTAGTCTGAAAATGTCTGTTTTGAAAGGAGATATTTAGTGGGTGGTGATTCCTTAATTGGCAGTTACCCGCTTTCTTTCAAGCACACTGGCTTCTGGCTACAGTGGTAGCTCTGACAAGTCAGTTACTCGTTTTACTTGATGTACCAAGGACTGGCTTTCTCTTTTGATTGGATACTTTTAATATCTGTTTGGTTTTATTTTCTACATTTTTATTATTACATGTCTAAATTTGAATTTATTTTTACTGATCTTGCTGGAGTTTCATTTCATTGGATCTTAATATTCTTGATTAGTTTTGGGAAAATCTAAGTCATTATCACTTTAAATATTGTTCCTGTCCCCCTTATTTCTCTTCTCCTATACCTTTTTTTTTTTTTTTTTTTTTTTTTTTTGACAGGCAGAGTGGACAGTGAGAGAGAGAGACAGAGAGAAAGGTCTTCCTTTTGCCGTTGGTTCACCCTCCAATGGCCGCCGCGGCCGGCGCGCTGTGGCCGGCGCACCGCACCGATCCGATGGCAGGAGCCAGGAGCCAGGTGCTTTTCCTGGTCTCCCATGGGGTGCAGGGCCCAAGCACCTGGGCCATCCTCCACTGCACTCCCTGGCCACAGCAGAGGGCTGGCCTGGAAGAGGGGCAACCGGGACAGAATCCGGCGCCCCGACCGGGACTAGAACCCGGTGTGCCGGCGCCGCTAGGCGGAGGATTAGCCTAGTGAGCCGCGGCGCCGGCCCTCCTATACCTTATTAAGTGTAGCTCAAACTTCATTTCATCCTTTATGTCCCTTTCCTTTTTTTCCTATTTTCCATCATGTTGTACAGAGAGAGAGGGAAAGACAGAGAGGTCTTCCCTCTGCTGGTTCATTCCCCAAACGGCCACAACAGCCAGGGCTGGGCCAGACTGAAGCCAGAAGCTTCTTCCAGGTCTCCCACATGAGTACAGGGGCCCAAGCACTTGGGCCATCTTCTGCTGCTTTCCCAGGTGTATTAACAGGGAATTACTGGCACTCAACCTGGCATCCATAGGGGATGCCAGCATTGTAGGCAGCAGCCTAACCACTATTCTACAACGCCGGTCCCTCTAATTTGTTTGTGTGTGGTTTTTTTTTAAAGATTTATTTTATTTATTTGCAAGACAGAGTCACACAGAGAAGTAGAGACAGAAAGAAAAGTCTTCCATCCAGTGGTTCACTCCCCAAATGGCTGCAATGGCCAGAGCTGCACCCATCCGAAGCTAGGAGCCAGGTGCTTCTTCTGGATCTCCCACACGAATGTAGGTGCCCAAGGACTTGGGCCATCTTCTAACTGATTTCCCAGGACACAAAAGAGCTGGATCAGAAGAGGAGCAGCCAGGACTAGAACCAGCATCCATATGGGATGCCAGCACTTCAGGCCAAGGCTTTAACCCGCTGCACCACAGTGCCAGCCCCAGCTCTCTAATTTGTTTTCAACCCATTTCTCTCTGTAATAAATTTCTGTATGTACTTCTTAAATTTCTTAATTTCTATTAGTTCATTTCCAAATTTGTAGGATATTTTGAAAACATTTTGTAATCGATTCAGGCAAAACACACACACATCATAAAAAGGTGCCAAAATTATTAAATAAATTTGGTGAGAAACAAGATATTTACATAGTCTTGGGATATCTTCTCATATCACAGATAATAATTAATTACAAAAGAACAAGTGATGGACCGGTTCTAGTCCTGGCTGCTCCACTTCCAATGCAGCTCTCTGCTATGGTCTGGAGAAGCAGTGGAAGATGGCCCAAGTCCTTGGGCCCCTGCACCCATGTGGGAGACCCAGAAAAAGCTCCTGGCTCCTGGCTCCAGATCAACCCAGCTCCATCTGTGGTCACTTGGGGAATGACCCAGGGCATGGAAGACCTCTCTCTCTCTCTCTCTCTCTCCTCACTTTCTTTCTCTTTCAATTAAATAAATCTTTAAAAAAAAAAATGATAGGAAAACCTGGCAGACACTTAGACACTTTCAACATTACCAATAATGGGACAAATTGACACACACCCAATTGTGAGACAGTGAGAAGGATACAACATCACAACATCCCTTCTGGGACATTCTTGTGAAAAAAAAAAAAAAAAAGAAAAGAAAAGAAAAGGGAGGGAGGGAGGGAGGGAAAAAAGGGAGGGAGAGAGAGAGAGAAAACAGAACTAGAATCTAATTGTGAAAAAACACCACACAAGTCCAGATGGAGGCATGTTCTACAGAACAACTTGCCTGTGCTCCTCAAAAATGTCAATATGGGGCCAGCACTGTGGTGCATCGGGTAAAGGCGCCGCCTGCAGTGCCAGCATCCCATATGGGTGCCGGTTTGAGTCCCAGCTACTCCACTTCCAATCTAGCTCTCTGCTATGGCCTGGGAAAGCAGAAGATGGCCCAAGTCCTTGGACCCCTGCGCCCGCATGGGAGACCCCGAAGAAGATCCTGGCTCCAGCCCTGCACCATTGTGGCCAATTGGGGAGTGAACCAGCGGATGGAAGACCTCTCTCTCTGCCTCTCCTCGTCTCTCTGTGTAACTCTTTCCAATAAATAAAAATTAAAAAAAGACTGCATCTTAAAAATGTCAATACCATAAAAGAAAAAATTCCCAGTTAAAGGAAACTAAAAAGGGAAATGACTAAACCTGATGTGGGATTGTGGATTGAATAAAGTGGGGAAAAGGCTGCTTTTCATGGACATTACTGGTGCAACCAACAAATTCTGACAGTGGACTGGACTCATTAGGTAATAACATTATCCTTGTTAAGTTTGACAAATCTGACAAATGTACTGTGATTATATAACATAACTTCCTTTTTCTTAGAAAAAATTAAATATAGTTTGCAACATATTCTCAAATGTTCCAGAACAAAATGATAAACAGTGACAACCTGTTGAAAAAGTTAAATTTGGGTAGGGAATTTTGTGAATTTTTTCCCCCTATTTGTGTAGCTGTTACGTAAGTTTGAAATCATTCTGGGAGCAGTGCTGTGGCATAGTAGTGGGCTAAGCCTCCACCTGAGGTGCCGGCATGCCATATGTGGGTGCCGTTTTTTTGTCCTGGCTGCTCTTCTTCAGATCCAGCTCCCTGCTAATGCACCTGGGAAAGCAGTAGAAGATGGCCCAAACCCTTGGTCCCCTGCACCCACGTGCAAGACCCAGAAGAATCTCCTGGCTTCAAATAGGCGCAGCTCTGGCCATTGCGGCCAACTGGGGAGTGAACCAGCAGATGGAAGACCTCTCTCTTTCTCTGCCTCTGCCTCTCTCTGTGTAACTCTTTCAAGTAAATAAGTAATTCTTTAAAAAAAAAAAAAAAAAGAGAGAAAGAAAGAAAAAAAGGAAGTCTTGTGGCTGTTTCTGTGGCAGAGAGTAAAGCTGCCTCCTACAGTGCTGGTATCCTATATGGGCGCCAGTTTGAGTTCCATCTGCTCCACTTTCGATCCAGCTCTCTGCTATGGCCTGGGAAAGCAGTGGAAGATGGCCCAAGTCCTTGGGCCCCTGCACCCATCTGGGAGACCTGGAAGAAGCTCCTGGCTTTGAATCAGCCCAGCTCTGGCCTTTGCGGCCAATTGGGGAGTGAACCAGCAAATGGAAGACCTCCCTCTCGCTCTCTCTGCCTCTCCTTCTCTGTGTAACTCTGACTTTTAAATAAATAAGTAAATCTTTTAAAAAAAATAAGTCTTTACCTTAATTTTAAAAATTGGGTTAATATCACAAAGGAGCCAATTATGCTCCTTCGTAATTCACAAGACTGGAGCAATTAGCATTTTATAAACACTAGCCAGCTTAGTCACCTAGCTTTGAGAATTCTAGCATTGGTCGGCCTGACCATTAGACTTGTAACATGAAATTGGGCCCAGGGTCTTGTGTACTAGCTTCCCATAAAAGATTTAGCACTGCAAGACGAAGGACAAAGGTAAATATCTGGCTTGGTAACGTAATTAAGGTTATGTAGGAAAATGAGAGGACAATACCAGTTATAGGATGCAGGGATTCCTTGCACTTCGGTGCTGACTGAGAGGACATGGTCTCCTTTGTGTGCTGGCTTGTAAGACCATCATCTTCGGTGATCTTAAGCCCTGAGAACTTCAACTCAGTGTAGTTCACCTGCTTCAGAGTAAGAAAAACAATAGTGTATCACTGGTAACATCTTGGTTTTCTCTCTCTATATATATATATTTGCTCTCTTCACTTTTTATAATGTGGTATTTGCTTTAAAATAAATATACACATACATACAATACTAAGGTTCTAAACATAAATTGTAGAGCATAAAATATGCTGAGTTAAATTATATGAAAATGAACAGTCCAGGGGCTTCATTAATCTACTTGTGCTTGTGGAAACAGATAGCTATGATTATTGCCTGTCTTGTGTGTCTGCTTCTGCTTCTGCTTCTGCCTCTGAGAATAACACACCTGAGGACACTACAACCCATATTTTAGTTCTTCAGGGTTTCTTACTTGCAACGTATTCCCATTTAAGATGTTACGACTAAGATACTCCATCCTGTTTTTTCCTTGGGCACCTATTCTTTTGCCATGTTTTCTTCTTGAGTAGGTGGCAACCTGGTGTTCCTTTTCCTTTCTTTCTCCCACCTGAGGAAGTTTTCTCTTTACGTGATACTGGCCAGCTTCAATGGGAATCTCGGCAGATGTCACCTGGTTCTGGACAGAAGGTCAGAGACAGCCTTACAAGGCGACCTCGATACACAAGAAAGGGATCTGTGAACTTGCAGTGGACTTCATTCTTCTCCTGCCACAGAGCTAAGAGTCTCTCTCTCACTCTCTCCTCCCCTCAAGAAAACCCAGGATTTCGGCTCAATCAATGTCTCAGGCATTATGAGGGGTGGAGGTTAAGTTTGCATAACACCTGACATTCACAGAAGGAATTTAACTCCAAGGCTAACACTGTCACCAAATCTGCTCAAGATTGGCAGAGATCTGTTACCTGGGGAGTCCTGGAGAGCTACCTGTGGAGGAAAGGCAGGCTTTTCCTCTTCAGACAAGATCTCTAAACCACCCTTGGTGTCCCTTTCCTCATCCTGTGCTTCTGCTTTCAGGACGGTCTCAGGAGGTAGGTAGTGTGACTTCCAATCCAGGTGCACTTGGATAGTTCCATTGGGTTTCTCTGCAGGGTCAGTGAGGTTAAAATCCCCTGGGAGGCACATGAACATTAATTAATAAGACCTGATCCCATGAAATAGGCAAGTGAGTATTTCTTGTACAGTTCTATTTTCTCCTTTTTATTTCACCATATTTTGTTAGTAACTAATTAATACCCACCAAATAATCAGGATGATAACATATTCAGAAGTAACATAAAACAGCAGTGTAGTGACAGGGGAGGGAAGGGTCTGTACAGGTTTCAGGAAGAGATAAAGGACGTAGAGAGGAAAACAGCTTGCTTGTCATCAGTCACCTACCCAAGAGATAAGATGGTATGATGATTGCTGTTATCAAAGGCTTACTATGTCTTAGGTATACCAAGCAAAGCATCATCTATACTCCAGTGAGCCCAAGAAGGCTTAAGCAAGATGTCTTTTTCCAACTGTCAGGCTGCCGATTTGTAACACCAATGGCAGAGAGCTCACTCTGTCTCTCCTCTTTGGCACAGTGGTGAGTGGAAGTGTCAACCTTTCCTTCCTTCCTTCCTTCCTTTTTCCTTATTATTTTTTTCTTTTTTGAAGCAGTGTCAGGATGAGGAGCACATACTTCCTGGAGCACACAGAAGCTTGTTAAACATGGTTGGCACCAGCTGTACCAATCCACACATCCTAGTAAGGGAATGCGTACCCCTGCCTCACCCTCCTGGGACTGTAGCCAGAGAGCTGACCTCTCCTACATGCATCCCACAACCCCAGGAATGAAGATAAGACAAGATAGTGTGGAGCTGAGCTCTACACTGAGGAAAAAATAAATCCAATTAATTTGCCTTTGTCATGGTCTGATGTGGAAGTCTCTAACTTGTGTCTAATGTTTAAAAGACTTGAGAGAAGTATGGGGGAGTGGAAGGTCACAACTTATTATCAAATAGCTAGTCATGCATCAAGAAACAACAGGCCTCCTGCCAAGACAAACACTGGGAAACACTGCAGAATGCTAGTTTGTTCCGAGACAGAGGTATCGATTTTAGGGGGGTTGGTCTATCAACTTGAAACTTGTGCAAGTTGCTGAAAAGCAGCAGCAGGCAACAATTTCATGGAAGAAGTGAGGCTCTGTAGCTCTTGACAATAGTTTAAAGTCCTTTCTGTAGATTTTAAGACTGCTCCAAGCAAGTACACAAAAGTAGAATCAAGACAGAGACGACATTGGGGAAAAGGCATGAAGATGGGACAACCTCAAACTCCCACCTTTTACAGATTGGTTCTGTGCAAGAGGCAGCAAGGGCACCTGAGCTCGGCCAAGGTACAAGCCAGGCTCTGACTCTTCATCATCAAACACGTAGATGGACAGGGCCTCTCGCCTCAGATATTGATCCAGGTCAGAGGTGACAAGCACGGGGAACCGAGCCTGGTCTCTAAAGTAGGGACTGTTACTGGCTGGAATGATGGCAGTGTCGTGGTCGGAGAAGGTGAAGAAGCGGTACATGACATACGGACTGGGCTGAGTTCCCAGCTGGCGACCCCGGAGGCCACAGCACCTGGTGATTTCAATCCGCAGCTCATTCTGAGGTTGCCAAGCTTTTGATCTGGACTGGAAAGATGTTGGTCTTGGGTTGAGGAAAAAGGGCAGAGCAAGATCATCGTGGTAAGTGAGGACCAACCCCACTCCGGGTGAGGTAGAGCTAGGACTCTGAGAACTGTTAGCCTGACTGGGCTGCAGGCAGATCTAATGACCTTCCCCTCCCTGCAAACTGGCTCTGGTGGTCACTTGAGGGCAATGCTAGCACTCAGGCCTCATCTTCAAGGGTGGTACACAGAAGCTGCCGTGTTCACGGCAAGGAAAGACAGCCAGCTCCAAGGCTTGGTTTCATTTGAAACTCAAGCTTGCTCAAGGGAAGAATCTGGACTAGCTGTGGTGTTTTTCTTCTTTCATTCACACTCAGAACACATACTGGCAGTGGAAGATGGATCTGTTCGCATGAGCTTTTGACTAGGCTCATTTGAGCTGCATGGGGACATCTCACCTCATCCTCCTTGGCCTCCCAGGCTCCAGGTACACTGGCCGACAGGTAGGCCTGGGCCTTCTTTCGTTTATTGCATGCCAGTTGGCTGCGTCCTATGGGGAAGTGCAGTCTCATCCAGTACTCTAGCACCCCAAAGTCTTCTCCACCAACTCCTGGGGTAGCAGAAAGTGCAAAAGGCATGGAGAATACAGAGGGTGTGGCAAGGACCAAGAATAAAGGCAGAGGAAGAAAATGGGAAGCCACCAGAAGGGCATGTGCAGACTCAGGAAAATTCTGCATTGGTCTCAGGGGTTACAGGAAGCCAATAGTACTTACTTACCAGTAAGTGTGACCGAGCCATGGACTTTCTCCACGGTCTCTAGCACTCTGTCAAAGCAAATCCATCCGGTTGCAAGGGTGTGGTGTTCACTGGCCACAGCCTGGTGTAGATCAAGATGGGCTGAAGCCCCTTGGAGGTAGTGCAGGAAAAGGGAATCCATCTCTACCACATACTGGGAGGTGAAGTCGTAGCAGGGCTGCGGCCCCACAGAGAGTGGCGTACAGTGAGTTTCAAAATCATAGAAGGAATAGGTGCAGAAAGTAGTAGGGCGGGCGTCTCCAGCCTGAGCCAAGGCAGCAGATGTCAGGAAGGCCTGGTGGATGTGTAGTTCGAAAAGATTGTCACTCTGACGCAGCAAGGAAACATCCGCTCTCTCCTCATCTCCAAGGGCAGGCAGGGTTTTTAGACTTACTGACATTTGTCGAGTGCCATAGGCAATGTCTTTGAGCTGCTCTAGAGGGAACAGAAAACTGTCTATCCATTAAAGGGTCGGGAGCTCTTCCTTAGAGGAAAGAAGGTTGGAAAGAAGAAGAAAAACATGGATGTCGAAGTTGCGAATATTTCAAGAGACTATGTGATTTAAAAGGAAAGACAATTAGAATGACAACCAGGAGCTTTGAATTCTGGTGGCCAAATGATCCAAAGCCTGCTTTAGAGAGAAGATACAGAATAAGTGACTGGAACACTCAACTCAGGAAAACACTGGGTGGCACATTTCATCAGATTACATTATTATGGCTTACAGCAAGGCTGTATCAATTAACCGGTAATTTCAGAAGAAGGAATAAGGAACACAGAACGTCAATATTTCTCCAAGAGTCAGGTCTATCAGCTATCAAGAAAATAGCAAGGCATGGATGCAGTCTCTATTACATTCTGCTGGGCCCCACCAAGAAATGCTTCCCTTTCTCCAGCCAGACCAGTCATTTTTCATTCTGTTCAAATTTGGTTTCATCCTAAGAAGGCAAAAAGTCCCCTTGAAGTTGAAGAGCAATGGAGTGAAAAGTGGGAGGAGACTTACTGGAAAGAGGCTGAAAATATTGGCAGTGGGATGCAAGATGTGTAGACAATGTATCACATCTGCATCAACATCCCTGTCTAACCTAACAGAAAATGATATATAGTATGCTTTGAACCGGGGAGTAATTGAGTCATCACAGTGCGTAGATGGCAAAAGTCCTGTTTTTTGTAAAAAAAAAAAAAAAAAAGTGATTTTTTAAAAAATTTGAAAGGTAGGAAGAGGGGGGCTGGTGCTGTGGCGCAGAAGGGTAAGTCTGCCCATAGTGCTGGCATCCACAGGGGTGCTGGTTCCAGTCACGGCTGCTCCACTTCTGATCCAACTCCCAGCTAATACACATAGGAAAGGAGCTGAAGATGGCCCAGATCCCCGGGCCCTTGCACTCACGTAGAGACCTGGAAGAAATTTCTGCCTCCTGGTTTTGGCCTGGCCCAGCCTTGGACATTGCTGCTATTTGGGGAATGAACCACTTATGACAGATCCAATTCTGACTTTCAAATAAATCAATCAATCCTTAGAAAAACAAAAAAAGCAAAGAAAGGTAGAAAGAGAAAGAGAGATTGAGAGAAACATCTTCTATCTACTGGTTCACTTGCCAAACACCCTCAACAGTTTCAGGCCAAGCCAGGCCAAAACGAGGAGTCTGGAACTCCCTCAGGTAGCTGGGACCCAAGAACTTCAGCCATCATCTGCTGCCTCCCAGCATACACGTTCACAGGGAACTGGATCAGAGAATCCAAAACTTGAACCAGGCACTGCCATATGGGGTGCAGATGTCCCAAGAGGCAGCTTAATCTGTTGTGCCACAATGCCCACACCTTGAAGGTCCTATTTTTAGAGGTAAAGCAGGGGCCAGCACTGTGTAGTAGTGGGTAAAGCTGCTGCCTGCAGTGCCGACATCCCATATGGATGCTAGTTAGAGTCCCGGCTGCTCCACTTCCAATCCAGCTCTCTGCTATGACCTGGGAAAGCAGTAGAAGATGGCCCAACTCCCTGGGTCCCTTGCATCCACGTTAGGAGACCCGGAAGAAGCTCCTGGCTCCTGACTGGCACAGCTCTGGCCATTGCGGCCATCTGGGAAGTGAACCAGCAGATGGAAGACCCCTCTCTACCTCTGTGTCTCTTTAACTCTGTGTTTCAAATAAAAAAACTTTGAAAAAAAAAAAAAAGTTAAAGCAGGGTCTGGCACTGTGGCATAGTGGGTAAAGCCGCCACACGTGGCACCAGCATTGGACATGGGTTCCAGTTTGAGTCCCGGCTGCTCCACTTCAGATCCAGCTCCCTCATAATGCGCTTGGGAAAGCACCAGAAGATGGCTTATGTGCCTGGGCCCCTGCACCCGTGTGGGAGCCCTGGATGAAGCTTCTGGTTCCTGGCTTTGGCCTGGCCCAACTCCAGCAGTTGCGGCCAACTAAGGAGTGAGCCAGCAGATGGAAGATTCTCTGTCTATCTCTCCCTCTAACTCTGCCTTTCAAATAAATAAATACATCTTTAAAAAAAGAAAAAGGCTATTAAAGCAGAGTAAAATGTTCTGGATACATCAAAATGTCTTCAGGTTCAAAAGAAAAAGAAGGAACACAGACATGACTAATGGTTTCTTAATTCATAAGACTGATATAATTAAATACAGTATATTTAAAATTGTGTTTTATATGACATAGGGTTAATAGTCTCACCACAAAAAGAACTTAAATACTGTTAATAAATGAGCAAAAGACAAAAACAGCCAATTCTCGAAAGAAATAATTCAAATAGCTGTTAAGCACATGAAAAGCTCTTAAGCCTTACCAGTAATCAAACAATGGCAAGTTAAAGCAAATGAATCTTTAGAAATAGGTAAAAGTAGAGCCGGCGCCGTGGCTCAATAGGCTAATCCTCCACCTTGCGGCGCCGGCACACCGGGTTCTAGTCCCGGTCGGGGCGCCGGATTCTGTCCCGGTTGCCCCTCTTCCAGGCCAGCTCTCTGCTATGGCCAGGGAGTGCAGTGGAGGATGGCCCAGGTGCTTGGGCCCTGCACCCCATGGGAGACCAGGAAAAGCACCTGGCTCCTGGCTCCTGCCAGGATCAGCGCGGTGCGCCGGCTGCAGCGGCGGCCATTGGAGGGTGAACCAACGGCAAAAGGAAGACCTTTCTCTCTCTGTCTCTCTCTCTGTCCACTCTGCCTGTCAAAAAAAAAAAAAAAAAAAAAAAAAATAGGTAAAAGTAGTTATTCTGCACTGTCTTGGGACAAAGACCTTGAAGCTGAAGGATATAAGAGTTTCATTCCAAGGGAGAATTTCCTTTGTTATATGGCAGTGACCTTGTCAGACTCACCTTGGCTTGGAAAAACCATGACCCAGAGAAGACTCCTCTCCTTTTATTCCAGCTTCATGTATACTAAGAACCCTACTTATGACTTTTCTTGCTAGAGACAGGGCTGCCCTCAACCGTAGTTCCAAATACTCTCATGGCAACAATGGAATAACAACTATTATACAATAAAAACATTCCGATTTAAATGTCTCTGGTTAATTTGGTTAATGAGAGTCAGATTTCACACCAGTGAATATAAAAAGCCAAGTTTCTTGACATGCAACAGGGGTGGGGAATCTCTTCTGCCAAGGGCCATATGGATACTTAGAACATCATTTGTGGGCCATATAAAATTATCAACTTAAAAATGAGCCTGTCACAGATTTACTGAACTTCAATTCCTGTCTGAGGTCACCTTGGTAGGGCCAGACCAAGTGATCTCATGGGCCTTCTATGGCCTCCAGGCTGGATGTTCCCCACCTAACATACAAGGTTGACACCAGAACCTGGTCAGCAGCGGCTGTACTAAATACAGGAAATACAAAATGAACAACTTGCAGCAACTCATTGCTGCCATGTCACCGTTGACATCCTCAAACTGTAATAAAGATTCTAGAGATTTTTTTTTTCCCAAGAGCCTCAAGGAAAAGGATGAGGAGGATTGAGTGACGAAGCTTTACAGGCTTGGGCTGACAGAGAAGAGAGCAAGCAAGTACAATATACCACCTTGAGGGCCAACAGCAACACTCTCCAATTCTCAAAACAGAATCAATCCCCTAAAAACCATTGCTGGGCCCTGGTGAGCCTGTGTGGAGAAATCAGGACAACACACTGACATGATGGAAGGACGGAAGCTGCTAACCCTATGTTAAAACAAGATGATGAGATAAAGAGTAGGAGGGGTCAGTGGCCTGCAATGGCCATGAGAGGCAACTACACGGTACACAGAGAGGAACACAGGCATGAGCTGTGTGCAGGGTACCAGGATGAGGAGAACAAGGTACTAAGACTTGCCAGATGTTGGAAGGCCATGGCTTCTTAAAATACCTTCCAGCTGCTTGATACGGTTGTTCTTGATGTCTAGGAGTTGAGTCAGCCTCTCCAGTTTTTCTTCGTGATCTCTGTTTTCATTATCAGCTTTTGTCATCATTGCCTCCAGTTCCTCCTGAAACAAAATAATGTCTGAACTTTTCTATCTCAGTGACCCAGTTCCAAAGGGCCCAGATAAAAAAGTGGAACTTGCTGCGTCAAGATGACTCACTAGCTCCTTAGTACGGCAGATTCTTCCCCTAGAAAAATCCCTGGGCTTCTCCCAGACTGCTCTAGGACTTCTTGAGCTATTAGTGTCAGAGTAGCAAGCTCCTTGAACTGCCAGAAGTTGAACTCAGAAGGTTCACATTTGCCATTGCCATTAGCTGGCCCCCTTCTAGTGCCAAGGTGCCGTGGCACACACAAGCCCTCAAGTTCCCCCATAGTTAGTGCCTCCTGTGTTTGCCTAGGACAGCGTGTTATCCGGCATCAGCCCTGGAAACAAAAGTGTTGCTTCATCCCCAGTCTTGGGAATGGTTTCCAAGTGCCCAGCTTTCCAACCCTTGCTGTACCATCTTTTCTTGCACCTGATAACACACGTTGATTTTGCGCTGCAGAATAAGCATGTCTCTAGTCTTTTCCAGTTCCAACGTGGTCTCTGCATGCGATATTTGCAACTCACTTAACAACTGGCAGAGTTTCTTTTCTTCTTGGATTTTTTGCTCACTGGGCTATAGAGGAGAACACATTGGAAAAGGGAATATAAATGAGAGAGATTGTAATAACTATTCTTCATAAAGCAATTGCCGATAGCAATAAGATGCCAAAACATAAAAAAAGATGTGTAGGGCCAGCATTGTGGCATAGTGGGCAAAGCCACCACCTGCAGTTATGGCATCCCATATGGGTGCCGGTTCAAGTCCTGGCTGCTCCACTTCCAATCCAGCTCTCTGTTATGGCCTGGGAGAGCAGTGGAAGATGACCCAGTTGCTGATCGGCACAACTCCAGCCATTGTAGCCATCTGGGGAGTGAACCAGTGGATGGAAGACTTCTCTCTTTCTTTGCCTCTCTGCAACTCTGCCTTTCAAATAATAAATAAAATTTAAAAAGAGGACTTGTATTACTTCTCAAGTGCTGTCTTCCCTACTCCTCATCTTCAGTAGCAGGAGTGAAGAGAGGTCACAGCTTCTAGTGGCTGTTTGCTCTTCAGAAGAGCACTTCAAGTCCTGAAAAAGACCTTACTTTTTTTTTTTTTTTTTAATTTGAGAGAGGGCGCGGTGGGGTGGGGGTAGATAGGGAGATCCCATGCACTGGACCATTCCCCAAATGCCCACAATGGTCAGGGCTGGGCAGAGCTAAGGCCAGGAGCTAAAGACTCAATCCAGGTCTCCCATGTGGGCAGCAGGAACCCTACTACTTGAGCCTCCACTCTTGCCTCCCAGGAACTGCAGCAGAGTTGGAAGCTGGAGTAGGAGCTGAAGCTGGGAATTGAACCCAGGTACTGAGATGTGAAATCAGGCATCTTAACAAGTTTTTTGTTGTTGTTGCTGTTTTAATTTTTTTATTTGATAGAATTAGACAGTGAGAGAGAGAGAGAGAGAGAGAGAGAGAGAGAGAGAGAGGTCTTCCTTTTCCGTTGGTTCACCCCCCAAATGGCCACCACAGCTGGAGCTATGTCGATCTGAAGCCAGGAGCCAGGTGCTTCCTCCTGGTCTCCCATGCTGGTGCAGGAGCCCAAGCACTTGGGCCATCCTCCACTGCCTTCCCGGGCCACAGCAGAGAGCTGGACTGGAAGAGGAGCAGCCAGAACTAGAACCCTGTGCCCACATGGGATGCCAGCGCCGCAGGCAGAGGATTAACCAAGTGAGCCATGGCGCCGGCCTGTTGTTGAGAGAGACAGAGACAGATATCTTCCACCCACTGGTCTACTCCCCAAATGTCCGGGGCTGGTCAGGAGTCAGGAGCTTCTTCCAGGTCTCCCACACGGGTGCAGGGGCCCAAGAACATGGGCCATCTTCTGTTATTTTCCCAGGGATACCAGCAAGGAGGTGGATCTGAAGTGGAGCAGCCAGGTCTCGAACCAGTGCCTATATGGGATACTGGAATCTCAGGCAGTGGCTTCACCCGCTATGCCCAACACCAGCCCCCTTATCCAGATTCTTAACCGCTAGGCCAAATGCTTCTTCCCAGATTCTAAATTTTATTAGCTATGAAGGACTGGGAAATGTGTGGAGCTCAAACTTTCTCTACTCTCAACATTTTTATATCCTTCCCCAGATTGTCCCTAACAAGATAAAATACCAGTTTTCTAATCTCTCCATCTTTCCTAAGGATATTTGCCAGAGTGGACTCATTTGTTCAGGGGACTGTTGCTTACCTCGATCTGAGCGGTCTCTTGGAATACAGCTAGGTGAATAGCTGGCTCCGACTGCCTGTCAGGAATTTGGGCAAGCGTGGCTGTCTTTTGGAGGATTTCCACTTCCTGTTTATGCTTCTGAAGCATGTTGGTTACTTCAAGCTTCAGATCTTCATTTTCAGCTGGAAGAAAAAAAATTTCAGAAAGTTGAAATTCTGTAGTTATTGGTAACCATGGTCAGAATTGGATCAAAAGCAAATTAAACTTTCCCACTGAGGTTTAACTCATTTTATAATTTTCTGAGAAAAGTAACTTAAAAATATTTAAGATGTATTTATCTGAAAGGCAGAGAGACCAAGACAGAAAAAGACACTTTCCATCCGCTGGTCCATTCCCCAAATAACCTCAGCAGTAAGAGCTGGGCCAGGATCTCCATCCAAGTTTCCCATGTGGGTGGCAGGAACTCAAATACTCAGGCCATCATTTGCTGCCTTGCAGGGTGTGCACCAGCTGGAAGTTAGAGCAGAGCAGAAGCCGGACTCCATCCCAGGCATTCCAGTATGCACTGTGGGCATCCCAAGTGGCAGCCTAACCCCCTGTACCACACTGCTTGCCCCTCCAATTTTTTTTCTTATTTCCACAAAAGGCCTCTAGTTTATTGACCCAGTAAAATGAGGTGATACATGCTCTCTGAAAACAAAACACCTGCAGTACACTCTAGACTGGAAGTAGAAACACCACCAAAACAAAAACAGGGTCACATGACTGACTACATCAATGTAAACTTTCTGACAGCACCAACCAAACAGCCACTTCCCCCCCACATCAGGGTGACTTGTAGGCAACTGGTTCCCTGGGCAGCCACCTCCATATGTACCCATCCTGCAGGGCAGATGGACATTTCCGTGTGTGTGTGTGTGTGCATGCACATGTGTTTTTCAGGGAAGGAATGTGGTCAGTAGTTAGTGTGTAGATCATTTCATCATCAAACATTAGAGAAGGGTTTAAATTAGATTGCCCCTAATCTTTTTATAAGACTTCAGTGGTGCAACATTTGTTTGGCTTAGTGGTTAAAATGCTGCTTGGTACACACATATTCCATATCAGAGTGCTTAGGTTTGCATCCCAGCTCTGTCTCAATTCCAGTGTCCTGCTAATGCATATTCTGGCATGCAGCAGATGATGGCTCAAACACACAGGTCCCTACCACACATGTGGGAGACCAAGACTGAGTTCCTAGCTCCTGACTTAGGCCAATGGAGGCATTTGGGGCGAGAACCAGGAGATGGCACAATTTCTTTCAAACAAAGATTTGTTTTTAGACTTCACTTGTACTTCCTACAAACTACAGGATCCTTTGCATATGCTAAGCATTATGCTTTAACGGCCCCTGCCTCATGTTTTATTGATGCCATGCTTCTTTTCCTTCTCGCTCCTATGTGAATATACTGGAACCTGTTAAGACTAAATATCAAGGTCCAGGCTAGGAAACAGTAGTAAGATGAGAGTCTTTATGACAGTATCCAAAAACCTTATGAATAATTATCTTCTGCAATATGGCAGGAAGAAAGACAGGGTGAAATGGTGGTGGTAACCAAGAGTGGTAATTTGCCGCTCAATATCACATGAGTGCTAAGAGAAAGATGCCTTCTATTTACCTCTGAAAGGATGAGCATAATAAGTGACAGCAAAATCTATTTTCAATACATTCAATTAATAAAATGGATGTTGAAAAATATTGAGTTAGGGGCTAGCACTGTGGCATAGTAGGTTAAGCTTCCACCTTCGATGCCAGCATCCCATATGGGCACCAGTTCAAGACCCCACTGTTCCACTTCCACTCCAGCTCCCTGCTAGTGCACCTGAGAGAACAGCAGAGAATGGCTTGGCCCTTGGGCCCCTGTACCCAATTGGGAGGCCTGGAAGAGGCTCTGGGCTTCTGGCTTTGGCTTGGCCCTGCCCTGGTCATTGAGGCCATTTGCAGAGTGAACCAGCTAATGGGAGATCTCTTTTTATTTTTTATTATTTTTATTTTTTGACAGGCAGAGTTAGAGAGAGAGAGAGAGAGAGAGAGAGAGAGAGAGAGAGAGAGAAAGGTCTTCCTTCTGTTGAGTCACTCCCCTAATGGCTGCCACAGCCAGCACTGCGCTGATCTGAAGCCAGGAGCCGGGTGCTTCCTCCTGGTCTCCCATGCGGGTACAGGGACCCAAGGACTTGGGCCATCCTCCACTGCCCTCCTGGGCCACAGCAGAGAGCTGGACTGGAAGAGGAGCAACTGGGACTAGTGCCTGGCGCCCCAACCAGGACTAGAACCCAGGATGCTGGTGTCGCAGGCAGAGGATTAGCCAAGTAAGCCACGGTACAGGCCTCTGTCTCTCCTTCTAACTCTGCCTTTCAAATAATAAATAGGAGCCAGAGCTGTGCTGTAGCAGGTGAAGCTGCCAACTGCTACAAAGGCATTTTTTATGGGCACCAGTTCGAGTCCCAGTTGCTCTACTTACAATCCAGCTCCCTGCTATTGTGCCTGGGAAAGCAGTGGGCCCCTGCACCCACGTGGGAAACCTGGAAGGTGCTCACGGCTCTTAGTTTCAGATTGCCATTTGGGGAGTGAACCAGGGATGGAAGATCTAATTCTGCCTTTAAAAGGTAGAGTTAAAGAGAGGCAGAAAGAGAGGGAGAGGTCTTCCATTTGCTGGATCATTCCCCAGATGGCAGGAACTGGGCCATTCTGAAGCCAGGAGCTTCTTCCAGGTCTTCCACGTGGCTGTAGGGAACCAAAGGCCATCTTCCACTGCTTTCCCAGGACATAGTAAAGAGCTGAAAGCTGTATCAGAGGTGAAGCAGCTGGGACTCAAACCAGAACCCATATGGGATGCCAGCACTGCAAGTGGTGGCTTTAGCTGCCATGCCACAGAGCCAGCCCCAATTTTTAAAGAAAGAAAAACATTGAGTTAAAAATTGGCACCTTTGGGGCCAGCGCTGTGGCTCAGTAGGTTAACGCCTTGGCCTGAAGCACCAGCATCCCATGTGGGTGCTCCACTTCCCATTCAGCTCTCTGCTATGGCCTGGGAGAGCAGAAGATGGCTCAAGTCCTTGGGCCCCTGCACCCATGTGGGAGACCCAGAAGAAGCTTCTGGCTTTGGATCGGCATAGCTCTGGCCTTTGTGGCCGATTGGGGAGTAAACCATCGGATGGAAGACTTGTCTGTCTCTCTCTGCCTCTCCTCTGTGTAACTCTGTTTTTAAATTTTTTTTTTTTTTTTTTGAAACTCAATCGGCATCATGGCTCATTAGGCTAATCCTCTGCCTGCGGTGCCGGCACACCGGGTTCTAGTCCCAGTTGGGGCGCCGGATTCTGTCCCAGTTGCTCCTCTTCCAGTCCAGCTCTCTGCTGTGACCCGGGAGTGCAGTGGAGGATGGCCCAAGTGCTTGGGCCCTGCACCCGCATGGGAGACCAGGAGGAAGCACCTGGCTCCTGGCTTTAGACCGGCACAGCGCGCTGGCCGTAGCAGCCATTTGGGGGGTGAACCAACGGAAAAGGAAGAACTTTGTCTCTCTCATTGTATAACTCTGCCTGTCAAAAAATAAAAACAAACAAAAAAAAATCAGCATTTTCAGGGCAGGCATTCAGCGTAGCAGTTAAGATGCCCAAGTTCCACAACAGAGCACTTGAGCTTGATACCCCTGTTTAGCTCTCAATTCTAGTTTCCTGGCAATACGCATCCTTGGAAGGCAGTAAGTGACGGGCTCAGGTGAATGCATTCCTGCCACCCATGTGGGAGACTTTGAGTTCCTAGTTCCTGGCTTTGGCTTGGCCCAGCCCCAATCATGTGAGGACTGAACCAGGGCATGGGAGAACACATGCATTCTCGCTTTCTCAGTCTCTCAAATACACACTTAGATATTAAAAAACAATGGCACCCTTCCAAATGGGAAGACATTACATGGAAAAAACATGCATGGTACATTAGGCATCACGTTTTCCTAAGCATCAATCTGACCTAATTGCCAGTGCTCTTATTCTGGTTATCTGTGGCCCACAAAAGAACAGGATCAGGAAGGAGTGTGTGTGTGGGAGAATGGGACAATGATGACAAAAATTCCCTTATCCAAAGGCAGACGTAAAGAACGCTACATCTGAGAGCGCCCTCCAGGGCCTGACCTACCTTTCTCTTGGGATAGCTGAAGTAAGACTTTTCTCTTCTCCTCCAGCTCAGCATCCAGCTGATCCTGCAACTGAGAAACCTGCTGCCGTAGCTGTTCTCCTGTGGGCTCACCGTTCCAGTGAGCTTGGCTACTGCTCTCCAGCATGCTGAAAATGGCAAGCCAGTTGTCAAATGGATACTCAAAGGTGTGTGATTCTAAGTCTTTATTACCCAGTTTCAGCATCTCCTGGGCCTGGTTCACCTTTCATTTCCCTACATGTTTTCTTCTGCCCTTGCTTTATTTGTAACTGTCATTTACCAACTGCCTTGGAACTTCTGGGTCCCTCAGAGGAGTTGCTCAGTATCACTTCTGTGTAGGTCTCAAGCATCTCACTGAGCATAAACCAAGTCACATCCATTTCCCAAGGAACTTCCCCAGCACCATGGCTTTCTTTGGGCAGGTAACCATGAACCAACACATTCTCAGGCCTGCTGGATTAGCAATAGGGAACAAAATCTTCCTCTTCTCACCTCATTCATCTACTTTTATCAGTCACTAGTTTGGAGAACACTTTCCTTTGAACTAAATTATAAGTTAATCCTCTATGGATAGGACCTAAACTTTTCAATAACTCTGCTTCCCACTCCATAGTTGCAGGCTCATTCAGTATCAAGCACAGTCAGAACTTGCCATTTACATGATGAAATGACATTGAGAGCCAATTACTTCCACTTAGAGTTTTTCCCTATCACTTTAATAAGTATGGTGTGAATAATGTGCCTAGGCTAGTAGGAGTGTACCTTAGCGCCTTCTCATCATATATCACATGATGACCCAAAAAGAATATTCTGAGTGATGAAGAGAACAGGTTGGTAAATAATGGTGTCTGCCACAAAGGCCAACAAAATGGATAATCTTCACATGCCTTCATTTCGCCATGTTGTTTCTAGGACACCCCAATAAAATCTTCCAGTCCTGCTGCCTTTAACTAGGTCAGAGGCCCTTTTATTTTTAAAAACTATGAGCTGGGGCTGGCATTATGGAATAGTAGGCTGAGCCTCTGTGGCTACAGCATCCCATATGGGCACTGCTTCATGTCCCAGCTGCTTCTCTTCTGATCCAGCTCTCTGCTTATGGCCTAGAATAGCAGAAGATGGTGCAACAGCTTGGGCCCCTGCACCTGCGTGGGAGACCAGGAAGAAGCTCGTGGCTCCTGATCGGCCCAACTCCAGCAGTTGCAGCCATGTGGGGAGTGAACCAGTGGATAGAAGACCTTTCTCTGTTTCTCCCTCTCTCTGGCTGTAACTCCATCTCTCAAAATAAATAAGCCAATTCCCAACACTGGCTCCTGATTCCAGCTCCTTGCTAATGCAGGGGTGCTGGGAGGCAGTGGTGATGGTTCAAGTAATTAGGTTCCTACCATTCTTTATTTATTTATTTATTTTGACAGGCAGAGTTAGTGAGAGAGACAGAAAGGTCTTCCTTTTCCATTGGTTCACCCCCACAATGACCGCTGCGGCCAGCGCACTGCGCCGATCCAAAGCCAAGAGCCAGGTACTTCCTCCTGGTCTCCCATGTGGGTGCAGGGCCCAAGCACTTGGGCCATCCTCCACTGTCGCTCCCCCTCTTCGCGGAGGAACGACACTAGACCCTGCGCTGTTCTTTTGTCTGCTCGGCCCTTCCTGGGTTTGCTGCTGGTCCTTCCCGGGTTGGCTGCCAACCCTTCCACCTCAGTGGAAGGGCGGCTCCCCCTGCCACTTTCCCCACTTCCGCAGGGGAGCGGCACACCGCCGGCCGGCTCTCTCGGGGGCTGCTCAGATGTTATCCGGATGTTCCTGGTGCATGTTATCTCTCTCCTCCTTTATAGTCCTCTTCCACCAATCCCAACTCTGCTACCCACACGCCAAGCACGCTGCTCTCCTCCAATCAGGAGCAAGATCAGCTCCTGCAGCTCATCAGTCAAATTGGCGAGAGGCAGCTGTGTAGAAGTTGTTTACTCCTCTCCCAGCGCCATATTGCGGGAGAGCAGATGCATAGAATAGGTCTTAATTCCAGTAACTTAGTCTAGTCTGAGTTGCTCCCCACACTCCACTGCCTTCCTGGGCCACAGCAGAGAGCTGGACTGGAAGAGGAGCAACCGGGACAGAATCTGGTACCCCAACCCGGGCTAGAGCCACAGATATCTAATATCTAAGATATCTAATATCTTAAAGAAGATAACACTTAGGCAGCCAGTGTTGTGGCACAGCAGGTTAAGCTGCCACCATCCCATATGAGCACCAGTTTGAGTCCTGGCTGCTCCACATCCAATCCAGCTCGCTGCTAATGTGCCTGGGAAAGCAGTGGAAGATGGCCCAAGTGCTTGGGCCCCTACCACCCATAAGGAAAGACCCAGAAGAGGATCCTGGCTGTTGGCTTCAGCCTGGCCCAAGTCTAGCAGTTGCGACCATTTGGGGAGTTACCAGCAGATGGAAAATTGATATCTCTCTGTCTCTCCCTCTCTAACTTTGCCTTTCAAATAAGTTAAGAAAAAGGATAGGAGTCGGGAGCTGGAGCTAGGAACTGAAGGCAGGCAGTTGCAGGTGACTTAACCAGCATTCTAACCTCAAGGCTAAACTCCTGCTCCTGAATTGTAAACATTAAGGCAAAGTGGAGATTGCACACCTGTTTCACTTCTGGATGTCTCATGATAAATGTATGTTGTTACAGGGTGACTAGTTCAAACTTCAAATCTACCTAGCAGCAGTGTCTGGGACGCGTAAGGGAGAAAACAGCAGAGGAAATGCCATGCAAATTAGAGGGACACCATGGACCTATGTTGGTGTCTTGCACTACTCAGGACCCCAGCAGCCAAGAGCCTTAGCACCAGCTTTAGAGTGAGGCAAGACCAGACTGAAGCAGCCCAAGCCTCTGGCAATAAAGCTGCGGGAAGTGCCTGGCAAGAGCCCTGTGGGGGACAGTGTACCCGCCAACCTAGAGGGAAAAGGATGGGGGCACATTTCTCGGTCTCCGACAACCCAGCACCAGCATCCTCTAACTAGCCGAGAGAGGGTGGGGGCCATTTTGGATGTAAGCAACAGCTGTGCCAGCTTGTGTCTGCCTGCCTAGCAACCAGCCCAGAGGAGATGCCCGAGTCTGGCTGGGAGAACTGACAAGGGGCTGGGCTCTGGTGACTGTGGGAGGCTTGTGTGCTGGGACTGTGAAAGCACTGTGGCTGCATAGGAGGGCACAGGGTGTGGCTGGGACTTTGGGCAGTAACTGTGGGCAGTTCCACATGTTCAGGGCTCCCCGATTCCCTGGTGAGGGTCAATGCTGCAGGATCTGTGCTCACACAGAGGACTGCACAGATCCATTGTGTGGTTTCTGTGGCAACGCAGATGAAAACTGTACCCACTGGGGCTAGTGCCCAGGCATTGGTCACCTTTTAGGACAGGAAAGGAAAAAAAATTACCATGCTCAACTTAGACACTCTCCTTACTCTGAAACACAGAATAGAGCTCCCTGGCTGCACCCAGCAGACACCTCAGGGTATTCACTGAAAAAGCAGACACTCCTAATGCACATAGTTCAAAGAGAAAAGACATCACAGGGGAAAATAAAAAACCAACAAGTATCACCACAAATGCCGAATAATTATTGCAGCAATTCAAGAAACAGGAACAAAGAAGACAACATGACACCCCCAAAGGAACACAACTCTTCAATACTAAAATGTGAAGATGAAGAGATTGAAAAAGTGCCAGAAATGGATTTTAAAAGAAAGGATTACTCAGAAGCAAATTTATGAACTAAGAGAAATCCATACATGAATGAAAATTTCCCATGAAATTGAAATTTTAAAGAGAAATCAAGACAAATATTAGACATGAAGAATTATAGAACAAATAAGAAATATGGTAGAAAGTCTTAATAGACTCAGTGAAGCGGAAGAAAGAATATCCAAGTTAGAAGACAAATCTGAGGCTGGCACTGTGGCATAGCGAGTAAAGCCACGGCCTGCAGTGCTGGCATCCCACATGGGCACCAGTTCTAGTCTCGGCTGCTCCTCTTCCAGTCCAGCTCTCTGCTATGGCCTGGGAAAGCAGTAGAAGATGGCCCAAATCCTTGGGCCCCTGCACCTGTTTGGGAGACTCAGAAGAAGCTTCTGGCTCCTGGCTTCAGATCGGCTCAGCTCCAGTCATTGTGGCCAGTTGGGGAGTGAACCATTGGATAGAAGACCTCTCTCTCTGCCTCTCCTTCTCTCTCTGTGTAACTCTTTCAAATAAATAAATCTTAAAAAAAAAAAAAAGGAAAAGAAAAATCTGGAAATTTTATAGTCAGACCAAAAAACAAAAAAGAAGAAAACTAAAAAGCAGTGTCAGAGATTTATGGGATACTATCAAACAGCCCAACATAAGGGTCTTAGGAACTCCTGAATGCGTGGAAAGAGAATGGATTAGAAGGCTTTTTTAGTGAAATAATTACAAAAAACATACCAAATTTGCACAAAGAGAGGGATACCCAAGTACAGGAAGCACATACAATTCCTAACAGACATGACCAGAAAAGATATTCACAACGACACATTGTAGTCAAACTCTCCACAGTAAAACATACAGAAATGATTCTAAAGTGGGCATGAGAGAAACTCCAGGTTACTTTCAGAGGATCTCCAATTAGACTCAGAGCTGACTTCTCATCAGAAATCTATAGGCTAGTGAAGAATGGCGAGGTATATTCCAAGTATTAAGAGAAAAAAAAAACTGTCCACCCAGAATACTGCACCCTGCAAAGCTCTCATTTACAAATGAAGGTGAAATAAAGACCTTCCATAACAAATGGAAACTGAAAGAAATCTGTCATCACCCATCCAGCCTTACAAAAGATGCTTCAGGATGTGCTGCACACAGAAACATGGTCATCACTATGAAAGAAGGTGAAGGCAGAGATCTCCCAGTAAAAGTACAAAGGAAATCAAAGTAAACAATAGGAATATTTATGGAAAAATGGCAGGGTCAAGTCATTGTTTATCAAGTCACCTTCAATGTAAATAGCCTGAACTCTTCAGTTAAAAGAGAGAACCTGGCTGAAGGGATTAAAAAAACAAAAGCCATCTATTTGCTGCCTATAAGAAACACATCTCACCAACAAAGATACGTGCAGACTAAAAGTGAAAGAATGGAAAAAGGTATTCCATGCTAAAGAAACCTAAAAAGAGCTAGTGTAGCCTTAATATTTGACAAAACAGACTTTAACACTCACACACACACAAAAGGCAATATGTAATAATTAAGGAATCAATTCAACAGGAAGATGTGACTATAGTAAATGTATATGCACCCAATTACAGAGCACCTGGCTATTTAAAACAAATGTTAGTGGATCTATAGGGAGACACAGACTTAAATACAGTAGTAATGAGGGACTTCCATAGCCCACTTTCAGCAGCGACAGATCACAACCAGAAAGAAAATCAGCAAGGAAATAGGTTCATTTATTCTATAGTGTTGACTAATTCTAACAGATGCCTAAAGAACCTTTCATCCTACAGATGCAGAATACACATTCTTCTCACCAGTGCGTGGAACTTTCTTTAGGATAGACCACATGCTAGGCCGTAAAACAAGTCTAAGCAAATTCAAACAAACAAACAAAAGACCAAAATCATACCATGCATCTTCTCTAACCACAATGGAATGAAGCTGGAAATTAACAACTCAGGACTCTCTAGAATAGATGTAAACACATGGAGAATGAATAACATGCACCTGAATTAACACTGGTCACTGGAGAAATCAAAAAATCAAAAAAATTCCTGGAAACAAATGAAGATGGCAATGCAAGATATCAAAACTTATGGGATACAGCAAAAACAGTATTAAGAGGAAAGTTTATAGAAATTGGTGCCTATTGCTGGCGCCGTGGCTCAACAGGCTAATCCTCCGCCTTGCAGTGCCGGCACACCGGGTTCTAGTCCCAGTCGGGGTGCCGGATTCTGTCCTGGTTGCCCCTCTTCCAGGCCAGCTCTCTGCTATGGCCCGGGAGTGCAGTGGAGGATGGCCCAAGTCCTTGGGCCCTGCACCCGCACGGGAGACCAGGAGAAGCACCTGGCTCCTGGCTTCGGATCACCGCCATGTGCCAGCCACAGCGCACCAGCCACGGCGGCCATTGGAGGGTGAACCAATGGCAAAAGGAAGACCTTTCTCTCTGTCTCTCTCTGTCCACTCTGCCTGTCAAAAAAAAAAAAAAAAAAGAAAAAAAAAATTGGGGCCGGCGCCGCGGCTCACTAGGCTAATCCTCCGCCTAGCGGCGCCGGCACACCGGGTTCTAGTCCCGGTCGGGGCGCCGGATTCTGTCCCGGTTGCCCCTTTTCCAGGCCAGCCCTCTGCTGTGGCCAGGGAGTGCAGTGGAGGATGGCCCAGGTGCTTGGGCCCTGCACCCCATGGGAGACCAGGAAAAGCACCTGGCTCCTGGCTCCTGCCATCAGATCAGCGCAGTGCGCCGGCCGCAGCGCGCCGGCCGCGGCGGCCATTGGAGGGTGAACCAACGGCAAAAAGGAAGACCTTTCTCTCTGTCTCTCTCTCACTGTCCACTCTGCCTGTCAAAAAAAAAAAAAAAAAAAAATTGGTGCCTACATCAAGAAAGGGGAAAAATAAATGAACTATCAATGCATCTCAAGGACCTAGAAAAGCAGCAAACAAAACCCAAAACTAGAAGGAGAAAAGAAATACTTAAAATTAGAGAACAAAAGTGAAAAACAAAAAATTACAAAAGATCAGCAAAATAAAATGCCGGTTTTTTGAAAAAAATTTTTTTTAAATTGATATATCATTGGCCCAACTAATGAAAAAAGAAGAGGAAGAATATCCAAATTAATAAAATTAGTGAAAAAGAAGATGTTTCAACAGACACCACAAAAATAAAAAGAACCATCAGAAATCACTACAAAGAGCTGTATACCACAAAGGGTGAAACCTAGAAGAAGCATACAGATTCCTAGATACATACAACCTACCTAAATTGAGCATGAAGACACAGAAAACCTAAACAGACCAATAACCAAGATGGAAGTTTAATCAATAATAAAGACACACACACACCCCAGCAAAGAAAAGCCCAGGACCAATGGCTTCATTACTGAATTCTACCAGATATTTAAAGAACAACAAATTCTTGGGGCCAGTGCTGTGGCATTGCGGGTAAAGCTGCCACCTGCAGTGCCGGCATCCCATATGGGCACTGGTTCGAGTCCTGGCTGTGGTTCGCATCCTGGCTCCTAGTTTTGGATCGGCATAGTTCTGGCCGTTGTGGCCAATTGGGGAGTGAACCAGTGGATGGAAGACACCTCTCTTTCTCTTTTTCTCTTTCTCTTTCTCTCTCTCTGCCTCTTCTTCTCTCTGTGTCACTGATTTTCAAATAAATAAATCTTAAAAAAAAAAAAAAACTCCAATTTTTTTTAAGATTTACTTGAAAGAGTTACACAGAGAGAAGGAGAAGCAGAGAGAAAGAGGTCTTCCATCTGCTGGTTTACTCCCCAGTTGGCTGCAACAGCTGTGCTGAGCTGATCTGAAGCCAGGAGCTTCTTCTGGGTCTTCCAAGTGGGTACAGGGGCCCAAGGACTTGGGCCATCTTCTACTGCTTTCCCAGGCCATAGCAGAGAGCTGGATTGGAAGAGGGGCATCCGAGACTAGAACAGCACCCACATGGGATTCTGGCATTGCAGACGGAAGATTAACCTACTACACCATGGTGCCAGCCCCATAAATAATTTTGTAAGCAAAAAGACACTTTTAAAAGTTAACACAAGTTAATCCTCTGCCTTGCGGCACCAGCACACGGGGTTCTAGTCCCGGTCGGGGCGCCGGATTCTGTCCCGGTTGCCCCTCTTCCAGGCCAGCTCTCTGCTGTGGCCTGGGAGTGCAGTGGAGGATGGCCCAAGTGCTTGGGCCATGCACCCCATGGGAGACCAGGATAAGTACCTGGCTCCTGCCATCGGATCGGTGTGGTGCGCCAGCCGCGGCGACCATTGGAGGGTGAACCAACGGCAAAGGAAGTCCTTTCTCTCTGACTCTCTCTCTCACTGTCCACTCTGCCTGTCAAAAAAATAAAAATAAAAAAATTAAAAATTAAAAAAAATTATCACAAGTATATATGCTCATTGTGGAAAAACTACAACAACACAGACGTATACAGAATAAGAGTGAAGATAGTCCCTTTGCCCTACTCTAATCTTCTCATCTCATTAACAATTTGTGGATCCAGGAGGGAGGGTAGGGTAGAAGTATCACTATATCCCTAAATCTGTATATATGAAATACATGAAATTTGTATAACTTAAAATTAAAAAAATTTGAATCCATGTATACATTAAACATTAACTGGGGCAGGGTTAACAATTTTGCAGCTTTTCTTTTAAACAATATCAATTGACTTTAAGAGTTTTATGTATTTATTCGAGGTAGGAGAAATAGAGAGTGAAAGAAAACATAGTTCCACTGGTTCACTTCACACATATCTGCAGTGGGCAACAAGAGGCCAGGCTAAAACCAGAAACCAGGTTTCCTCAATCCTTGTTTCCTACATGGTTGCCAGCTGGTTCCCAGGGTCTGCATTATCAGGAAGCTAGAATCAGGAGCCAGAGTGAGTCATAAAACCCAGCTGCCCTGATGTCTTCCCACTAGGCTTAATTCTTAAAAGTGGATTGGGCATTATGTATTTTATTTGAAAGTCAGAGTTACAGTGTAGAGAGAGAAGGAGAGGCAGAGAGAGAGGTCTTCCATCCACTGGTTCACTCCCCAATTGGCTACAATGGCCAGAGCTGCGTCGATCTGAAGCCAGGAGCCAGGAGCCAGGAGCTTCTTCCACATCTCCCATGCGGGTGCAAGGGCCCAAGGACTTGGACCATCTTCCACTGCTTTCCCAGGCCACAGCAGAGAGCTGGATTAGAAGTGGAGCTGCCGGGTCTCGAACTGGCACCCATATGGGATGCCGGCACTGCAGGTGGTGGCTTTACCCACTGCGCCACAGTGCTGGCCCCCCACCTACTTCTCTTTAACATCTGCCTAGCACTCCACTGTGAGAATGCAACATGAATTATTTAATTAATCCTCCATAAATCCAAGTTTAGGTACTTTTTTTAACCAATGAAGTTATCAACATTCTTATTACATAGATATCTTTGCACATAAGAGGATTTTATTTAATCCTTAAAATAGAATTTCTTTAAAAAAATCTTAATATTTGACATTTTACTAGGTAATGTTAAATTCTCAAAAAATGGTCCCGATTTATATAATAAGTGAGTCCCAGTTCTCATATTATTTGTTAGATGTTGTGTTAAAATTTGTAAGACACTTTCTCATACTGCCCATTATAGCAAAAAATGCTCCGAGACCCTAAGTTGGTACTCACTTTTCTAAGAGCTTGTCATAATTGTCATTCAGCAATTTTCGTTCTTTTTCCAAATCTTCAACTCTCTCCTGAAACTAAGAATAACAATAGAGTCCTTGAGGTACAATTTACAAACCTGTTGCCTTGCACAAATGGCCCTTTTTCTTTTGTAAGACAGGCTTTGGGTAAAAGCTTTTCTATACCCATTTTCTAAGTTTACAAGGAGCCAGTCAACTTAAAGGACTTTAATTGATTCCATGTGAGCTAGAAACATTTATTGGAATGAATGAGGCTTCTCTGAAGTTATCATGGTATCCAGGTTTCTATTGTTAGAGAACAGACTGACCCTTATGGAAGAGCAAGGACTTTGGAGAACAGTATAAATCCCAGCTTTCTCCCTAGTGATGTAATCTGAAGCAGATAATTTGACTAAGTGGAGCCTCTTTCGAAAACATGAAATACCTATATTGTTGCTAAGATGCACATTTTCACATCTCTGAAGCTGGAATGTAGCAGTCATCTTCCAATGTAACTATTTACCTCCTTCAGAGTTATCTGCAGGATGGACACATCTTCCAGTTGGCTCTTCATGCTCACAGCCTTCTTGCTCTCCTCTGTTAGCTCTGCCCTGAGCTCATTCACTTGGGTGAGAAGGGCATCATGAGCTGCACCTAAGATTCCCTGGTTCTGGGACAAAAGGAAATTGCTCTGGGACAGTCAGATCACTCACAGGTGTGTTCTCTATCGACCAGTCCTCCCCCACCCCCACCCCCAACACACACACCCACACCTGAGCATTCCCTAGTGGATGTCACAAAGAATGGCATTAATAGTATGTTGCCTTTGCACTGTAAGCTGACCTTGATTTCCACCTTAGCACTTCTTTGAGAGAATAATTTCCCTGGTAGGAAGGGCTGTCATTCTGGGCAACTGTAACTCAGCATTGAAGCCTTACATTTCCCAAGGTTCAAATTAACCCTTTAAGTCCCAACTTCCAAAGCTGCCCTTTCTAAGCTATTTGATAAGCTTCTATGATTATCTATTCATCCCTTTGCATGTAGGGATGTGACAGTGCTAGCTCTAGCTTTAGGGGAGCCCAGTTATGGCCTTGGAACTCTGGCTCAGTGACTTTTTTGAAAGAGTTACAGAGAGAGGTTGAAACAGAGAAATAGAAAGGTCTTCCATCCGCTGGTTCACGCCCGAAATAGCAACCCAAAACTAAGAGCCAGGAGCTTCTTCCAGGACTCCCATATGTGTGCAGGGGCCCAAGGACTTGAGCCATCCTCTGCCATTTTTCCAGGTGCGTTAGCAGGGAGCCGGATGGGAAGTGCAGCAACCTGGACTCCAACCAGCACCCATATAGGAATCAGTGCTGCAGGCCAGGGCTTTAACCTCCTGCACCCTGACTCAGTGACTCTTAATCATGGGCACTCAACCAACCTCACCTGCAGACCAGTGAAATATTTAATATCAGAAAATCTCCAACAACTGTTATGCCTCACCACCTCACACATGGGAGAAGAAACTGTTAGAAATTTTTGAGTGATAATTTGCCCTAGCAAAAGGCTAAGAAACACCAGTCCAAATATTTCTCCACTCAGATCTCAAATTTCAATTTTTGAGGCCAGTGCAATAAATATCTTCTGGTAATAGTGATATAATTTGACTTTTAGAAACTATTACACAGTAACTTTGATTTAGTTGGCTAAATTCTAGTATTATGTTACTCAGAGATAAATGAGTTTCTTTGGGCTTGATCATTCCAATCAGTAAGAAACAGACTCGAGGCTCGAGTTGTGGTGGAGTAGGTTAAGCCACCACCTACAATGCTGGCATAGCATTTGGGCACCAGATTCCCAAATGCTCCACTTCTGATCCTTCTCCGCACTAATACACCTGGGAAAGCAGCAGAGGATGGCCTAAGTGCTCAAGTCCCTTCACCAATGTGGGAGACCTAGAAGAAGCTCCTGTCTCCTGGCTTCAGCCAGGCCATTGCAGCCACTTGGGGAGTGAGCTGGAAATGGAAGATCTGTCTCTGTCTCTTCTCTCTCTACCTCTGCCTTTCAAATAAATTAAATAAATCTTAAAAAAGAAAGACAAAAACCTCTTAAAGAAACAGACTCAATCATTCTTAAGTACCTTCTGGAGCAAGGTTTCATATGCCTGGAAGAAAGAAAGAATTATTTTACTTTTTTAGCAATTTCATGATGTATGATGTTTATTGATATAACACAAATGTTTAATGTTTTAAAAGACAGTATAAAAAAATCCCACAAGCCATGCCAATTTGTGTAACTGTTTACAATGACTGCACAATCACATCAGCAAAATCACATCACTTCTTTAAAAAGAATAAAGGGTCATTTATTCAGATTTTCATGGTCTTTAGTAGATTAGCTAAGAAAAATATTTAATCTCAAACTAAACATTCTCTGTTATGCAGTATGCTTTAGAAATGAACTCTGCCTGTCAAAAAAAAGCTTTCCAGTTTCAGAGAAAACAATAATCAACGCGACTACTAGTTGATCAATTACTGCTACATGTTTTTTCATTATATGCTTCATTATTTCATCTGTATCACCTCAGTTAACTCTTGCAGCAAGTTTGGGACATAGGTATTATTATCTAAACTTTAGAGAAGACCAAAGCTCCGAGAACTAAGTCAGTTGCTGAGAATGACATAGCTACCAAGAGGCAGAGGCAGAACTCTAACCCAGCCCAGGAGACTGCAAAGTGGACACTATTTTACCACCAAGGGACTAAGAGAATGTAAAATTATTTTAGCATCTGTATGAAAAGGCATTAACTAGAAAAGTGAAAGGAAAACAAATAGTCAAATCTACATTTTAAAAAGTAGTAAAGAATTCACCATGTTAGTCATCTTTACCAGTGTTTACCATGACTAACAAAGGTAAGGAAATTCAATTTTTTTTTATTTGACAGGTAGAGTTATAGACAGTGAGAGGGAGAGACAGAGAAAGGTCTTCCCTCCATTGGTACACCCCCAAAATGGCCGCTAAGGCCGGAGCTAGGCCGATCCAAAGCCAGAAGCCAGGCGCTTTCCCCCACCCCGCTCAGTCTCCCACACAGGTGCAGCCACCCAAGCACTTGGGCCATCCTCCACTGCCTTCCTGGACCACAGCAGAGAGCTGGACTGGAAGAGGAGCAACAGGGATCAGAACCCGAGGCCCATATGGGATTCCGGCGCCACAGGCGGAGGACCAGCCAAGTGAGCCATGGTGCCGGCCCTTCTTTTTTCCTTTAATACAATGCAGAAATGGAGATGAATTTTTTTAAAAATCCAATTCTGCAAAAATAGCCATTTGCCAATACAACTTTAAATTCATCTTTCCCATATTTCCACATTCTGTAAATGCTACTAGAATCAGTCAGATCAAGACTCAAGTATATGCGTAAATCTTTGCAAAGCATAGGTCTGGTCCCATCAAGATGCTATAGCCTGTATCGGAGTGGACGTACCATGTACAATGTTAAAAGTAGCTGGACCCAACCTCAGTGCCTGACACCACCATCGTCTCATCAACCAAAGGAGAAAACCGGAGTCACCGGTCATGTCTCTGTCCCTTACTCCTTCCCCTGTAGTGAGAAAGCCCATTCTTCAACTTCCGGAGCCTTCCCCCATCTCTTCCTCTGCAGGCCTCTCATTGCCTTATCAGGACCTCCACCTGCTTCCTCTGGGCCCCTGCAGTAGTCACCTACTCTGCTCAGGTACCTCTGGACTCTTGTGTCCCTTATACCCTGCCTATGGAAGGCTGTATTAGTCACCTGGTATTCTCTCCTTTAGTTCCTTGAAGGCAAGAGCTGTCATCTTATCTTTGTACCCCAGTGCTTTGCATGGTTCCTAGCACTCAATAAATATATTTGCTCCATAAAACAATGGCACTGACCCATTACTTTTTTTTTTTTTGACAGGCAGAGTTAGACAGAAAGGTCTTCCTTCCGTTCTTTCACCCCCCAAAATGGCCACTACAGCCGGTGCTGCACCAATCCGGCACCAGGAGCCAGGTGCTTCTTCCTGGTCATCCTTGCGGGTGCAGGGCCCAAGCACTTGGGCCATCCTCCACTGCACTCCCTGGCCACAGCAGAGAGCTTGCCTGGAAGAGGAGCAACCGAACAGAATCCAGCGCCCCGACTGGGACTAGAACCCAAGATGCTGGCGCTGCAGGCAGAGGATTAGCCTAGTGAGCCACAGCGCTGGCCAACCCATCACTTAGACCTTTGAATCCTTATTTCCACCATCCAGATATTAGTTTCCAAGGTGTGAGCAAGAGCCCTGGTGCCAGCTGGGACTTGATCCTACTCTGCCCCCTTGCTATTTGTGTGACCTGAGTGAGTGTTCCTCGAGACCCAGTTCCCTCGTGCCCTGAAGGTACTTGCCCTGAGTGTCGTTACAGGCTTAACTAAGGCCGTGACTCAAAGTGTCTAGAGCACAGTAGAGCACCTAGACAGGGTTCAGTCAAGGCTGGGTTCCGTTGCTTTCCCTTCCCCTTCTTCCCCTGGACTGCTCTTGGTTTCCCAATTTAATGACCTGCACATTAACTCCACTTAATTCCACCTGGGTAGGCAGATCTTGACCCTTTTTCTCAGAAATACTGGGAAAAGAATGGACTCAAAGTTGCAAGGCTTGGATCTCAATAACGCCTGTAAGTTGTGTGATCTTAGATAAGTAACCCATCCTCTGAATTGTCATCTCTTAAATGTAAAAGTGAAGAAAATAACAGTAGTCTCTTAACACACTGGATTTCTCCCTCCTTTCTCCCAAGACAGCACAGCTGATGATGGCAACTCACCTCCTGTACGTCTGCTAACTGTGCTTTTGTCACTGCCAACAAGGTACTCCTTTCATGTAAGAGCTTTTTAAGTCGAATCAGCTCCACGTTCTCCTTAATGGAAGCTCTGCCGAGAAAACAAGGTGCTCAAGCGCCCTGAGAATGCGGGAGCGAAGCCCCTTCCCCCTGACTGTGCACCAGTAAGAACATCTCGTTCTGGTCTCTTGCCTTCCCCTCTCCCCCACAGCACACCAGGCAGTGTTTGTAAGCTCGGCTAAATGAGCTGCTTTCTGCTGTCTGCCCTCACACAGCTGAGGTCTGATAGAAAGACCCCTGGCCTTAAAGTCTGTATTCTGACAAGACATAACTTTTTCAAAAACTATGGTGCTCAGTTTCCTAGAATCCCTGCTAAGTCCAGCAAGGTCTAACCTTTTGTGTCTTTAAAGAAACCAGGGAGCCGTGGATCTAGTCAGGGGACAGGAAGGAAGATTAATATTTCTGAACCTAAGAGATCACATTTTCTTTATTGTTTGAAGGAGACACTGGGGAGGCCCTGGGCTCAGCGATTCCTTGCCTTGCTGCTCATTAGAATCACCTGCAGAAACTTTTCAACTGACCCTGCCTGGACTCTACTTCAAATTACTAAAAGGCTATTTCTGGGGGTAGGGCCCAGGCATCTGTGATTTTAAAGGTCTCCAGGTGGGAAACTTCTGTCCACACAAAAACGTGTACATGAGGTTTATAACAGCTTTATTCCTAATGACCTAAATTTGGCAGGAACCAAGATGTTCTTCCTTAGGTGAATGGATAGATAAACTGTGGTGCATTTGGACAAAGCAATGCCATTCAGCACTAAAAAGAAATGAACTATCAAGACATGAAAATTCATGGAGGAAGCTTAAATGCATGTTACTAAGTGAAAGAAGCCAGTATGAAAAAGCTATGTAATCTATGATTCCAACCACATGACATTCTGGAAAAGGCAAAATTATGGAGATGGTAAAAAGGTCAGAGGTTGCCAAGGGGAAGGGGGAAGGAGACATGAGTCGGTGGAGCACAAAGGACTTCTAGGGCAGCAAAACCACTCTGTGACCACACAACGGTGGATCCATGTCATGATGCATTTGTCAAAGCCCTAACTGTAAACTGGCTTTGGGTGATAATGATGTGTCTGGGGGGGTTCATCAACCGTAACCAATGCACCAGGCTGGTATGGGATGCTGATTGTGGGGGAGGCCACACATGTATGGAAGCAGAGGGTATTCAAGAACTCTATTTCCTGCTCAATTGCCCCGTGAAACTAAAAAACAGTTGATGAAACAAAGTTCTCCAGAAACTGAGGCACAGCAAGGGCTGAGCACTCCTATTTGTGGATGAAGTTGAAGTAGTTTTCCCTCCAGGAAGTGAAGTAGCAAATCTTTGATTACACTCAAGCATTCCCTTTAGATTAATCCATTTCTTAACCTACTAAGGCCTCCAGGTCTACTTCTCAGACTGAATTTAATCCGGAACGATCTCTTTCCCCTGAGAAAAAGCAAGGCACAAATAAGGGTCTCCCACTTTTTCAGTTCATTACGGTTTGAGGCACAGAATGCCACGTGCTCACCGAAGTTCTGTGGCCTTCTGGGCACTCTCCAGTGAGCTTCTCTGTGCAAGATGTTCTTCTTTGGACCCCACCTTCTCAGGAGATGCGGGTGACTCTTCTGCTTGCACAGCATTGTTGGCTATAATGTGGGCACTGTTAGGCATGCACAGACCAATGAATTTAGCCAAAAGTATGATTTGCTGAAAGAAAGTACACTGCTAGGCACATTAGGCACAAAAATGAGAATTCAAAATGGTTGTGATAGGGACTTAGAACTGGGCTCTCACACATATAGCAGTCATAATTTTGCTATGTGTGGAGGATACTCTTCCACATTTTAAATAGAACTATAAATGAATTATAACCTAAGTGGTAATAGTATAAAGCGAAAGGGAGGGAACAGCTTCATCTCAGGAAAGGATCTTCTTTTTCCTTCTTTCAGAGAACAGATATTTGTTTTCCATTTGTAAGCAATTAAGTTGGAGTTTGACCTGGGGTTGGCTTTCACCCTAATTATATTGGAAAGGCTCTAACTCACCTACATTCACTTGTTCCCTGAATGATGGATTTCCAATTAAAGCTGCGGGAGTAAGAGCCTGGGGTAAATGGAAAGAACTCACGGTTCGCTGGGTTCACTGGTGATTTCACCCCTGTTTTTTTCATTTGTCACATGGTCCTTGAACGTGGGAGGGGCTGTGTAGCTCCGCCTGTCCCTTGGCCCTGAAAGGTTAGGCAGAAGATGTGATTCTAGGGGCTGGTGTCTTGGTGCAGTGGGTTAAGCTGCTACCACTTAATGCCAGCTGGTTGGAGTCCACAGCTGCTCCACTTCTAATCCTGCACGCTGTTAATACGCCTGCTAAAGCGGTGGAAGATGGTCCAGGTGCTTGGGTTCCTGCAGCCACGTGGGGGCCCTGGAAGAAGTTCCAGGCTCATGGCTTCCCCCTGGCCCTGTCCCGGCTGTTGAAGCTATGTGGGGAGTAAAGCAGCGGATAGAATCTTTCTTTCTTTCTCTATAACCCTGTCTTTCAAAAAAAATTAAATACAGGCCAGTGCTGTGGCATAGTGATGTCTCATATGGGTGCCAGTTCTAGTCCTTGCTGCTCTTCTAATCCAGCTCTCTGCTGTAGCCTGGGAAAGCAACAGAGGATGGCCCAAGTCCTTGGGCCCCTGTACCCATGTGGGCGACCAGCAGAAGCTCCTGGCTCCTGGCTTCGGAGCAGCCCAGCTCCAGCTATTATGGCCATTTGGGGAATGAACCAGTGGTTGGAAGTCCTCTCTCTGTGTCTCCCTCTCACTGTCTGTAACTCTACCTTTCAAATGAATAAATAAAATTCTTTAATAAAAAATCAAGATGTGATTTTAACAACCGTGTCCTCCAGAATACCAAAGTCTGAGGTTGGGTATGCAAGCGCTGGATGTAAGGAGCCTACAGGCCTGTGGGAAATCTTTGTACAACTAGCCCCAGACAAGAGGTTCCCTTTACGGTGGCGCAGAACTGCAGATTTCATCAGTTGGCAGAACAAGACTCAATGAGGGAGAATAAATGGCAAAAAAATAAAATAAAATAAAAATGGTGCAGGCTCGTTCAGGGCAGGGCTTGTGTGTTGAATGCATTTTTTTTAAGTTTGTATTTATTTTCACTTTATTTGAAAGGGACACAGGGAGATCTTCCACATGCTGGTTCACTCCCTCCATACCCCAAATGCCCACAACAGCCAGACTGGGCCACACTGAAGCCAGCAGCCCAGAACTGCATCCAGATCTCCCACAGGGTGGCAGAGACACAACTGTGAGGAGTCAGCCAGGTTAACAGGCAGTCAGGGCGGGCCCAGTGGAAACTGAGGGTGCAAATGCTTTCTTCTCCTAAAAGCTATCTTTAGCAAGATGAAAAAGATCGCCTGCTTGCTCCTTGAGAGCTTCCAACCTTATCATGAGAATAGCAAGGCAGTATCCCACCCTACAGATGGCTCTTTGTTTTATCAAGAGCAAGCCAGATTGGGTGAAAGATTGTAAATCAGGCCTTTTAATGGGCTTTGTTCCCCCTCTTGTAACTGAATGTCAAGTTTTTTTTCTTCCCGAAACTTCCTCTCTTGGAAGGCCCCTTCTTTGCCACTCTGGCTGGAGATCTCAGACTCTAATAAAACTTGCTTTTAAATCGCTCTGCTTGTCCGCTTGGAAACTTCCATGTGAGACAAAGAACTGAAGTAATAATATTTTCTCCACCGAAGTTTCACCCGTAACACAACTACTTGAACTGTGACCTGCTGCTTCCCAAGGTGTGCATTCGCAGCAAGCTGGAGTCAGAAGCAGAGCTGGGCCTTGGACACAGGCACTCTGATAGGGAATGTGGGAGTCCCATGTAGCATGTTCACTGCTGCACCACTTGACTGCCCCCTAGTATGTCTCTCTTTCTAGTGCCTGGTGCACAATCAGTGCCCAAAAAGGCTGAATTGTTACATGGAACTGAAATTTATACTCATTCATTTTTTTTCTCTCCTTATAGCTGTTTTTGCAAAGGTTTGTTGTCTGGAGTACAGGGTTGAACATAGGCTATCTAGTATACCAAACAAAATAAATGAGTACTTATCAATAAGATAAGGGTATTTGAATAGAATACTGTGTCTAACTTTACATCATCTAGGATACTCATTGCTGATTGAGGTCCATGGGAATGGGGGGCGCTGTTACTCTGGAGACACAACATTGGGTTTGACCTCAAACTCAGCCAAAAGAAGAGAAAAGGCACCTGACTCAGATCATTTACAACCTGTCATCTAGGCCTAGACTTCAGCAATGGGCTTGGGAAACTCTGAACCCTTGGAAATTGTATGCAAGCACTGTGTGGAGGTGCATTTTCTTGTAAGAAGAGCCTTACAGTTGATCATGGTTTCAAAGGTGTCCACTTTCCCATAACGCTAAGAACCACAACTTGTTCTGGAAACCTGACTCTGTCCATGTCGCCCAGACACACAGTAGACGGACCCGGACCCCTCACTCAATGTTTTCTCTTTTCCAGACCTGCGGCCCGGAGCCCACTTGCTGATTCCGTAGCAACACGTGCGCCAGGTGTATTGAAAAATCTTTAATCTGATAGCCCGTTTAAGGTAGAAAGCAGGGAGTGAGTACAAATGAACACAACAGAGTGGAGGACGGAATAAAATAAAGAAGGCATGGCAGGCAGGGCGTTCCCTCCCAGGGTTTAGCGGAGTCCGGGAAATGGCTCCGTGCCTCACCCTTCCTGGGTTTCTCCGGCACCTGCGCACCAGCGGTGTGGAGCTGTCGGGGTTCCCCATGGGCGCGAGACGGGGCGCGGCGCGGAGCAGAGCGGCCCACGCGCTGGGTCTGTCCTTGGAGCCGATTTGTCGAGGGGTGCTGCTGCCACCCCACCTTCTGCTGCTGCCTTACCGGCCCGGAGAGTTGCGCCCCAGATGCCTCAGCTCGGAGGTTTCGGCCCACAGTAGTCAGCCGGAGCAAGGTGGTCCTCAGCCTGTGACGGAACAGAGCAGGTGGCTTCTCCTAACACAGTTACTATTTCTAGAGCATACTCGATGACAAATAATCGTGACTTGATCCGTGATGCGATCCATTATTTATACTTTAAAAACAATTAATTTTCTGGGGCCAGCGTTGTGTCCAAGCTAATAATCAATTGGTATCTGGGCTGCTCCATTGCTGATCCAGCTCCCTGCTAATGCCCTGGGAAAAGCACTGGAAGATGGTTCAAGTCCTTGAGACCCTGCCTCCCACGTGGGAGATCGAGATGAATCTCCTGGCTCCTGGCTTTGTCCTGGTCCAGGCTATTGTAGCCATCTCTGGGAGATGGAAGATTATCTCTCTCTCTCTCTCCCTCTCCCTCTCTCTCTCCCCCTCTCCCCCCCCACTCCCCCGCTTCTTCCCTCCGCCCCCCCTTCCATCTCTCCTTCTCTCTGTGTAACTCTGAGTTTCAAAATAAATAAAACATCTTTAAAAATTTTTTTTCTGTCCTTCATACATTGTAACTTTTTGAGACAGGGACATTGTGGTGTCCATCCTTGACCCGTGTTCACATGTAGAGGAAATATGGTTGCAGCCAGAGACAAAGAAAGAAAAACGGAATCCCCTCCCCAACACAAACCTTGAAAACATTGGAAGTATGGTTCTAAGTCATGTTGGCTGCAATTTAAACTCACCAGTTCTGTTACAGCTAAGGTATGATGCTGATGAACCTATAAATATTGTAAGAAACTTGAGGTTGATGCTTACTTCTCGGGAAATGATTCCAGCTGAGCCTGCCAATGTTAAAAACTGCTTGGGTGGAAGATGGCCCAAGTGCTTGGGCCCCTGCACCGGCATGGGAGACCAGGAGGAAGCTCCTGGCTCCTGGCTCCTGGCTTTGGATGGGCACAGCTCCAGCCATTGCAGCCAACTAGGGAGTGAACCAGCAAATGGAAGACCTCTCTCTCTCTGCCTCTCCTTTTCTCTCTGTGTAACTCCGACTTTCAAATAAAATAAATAAATCTTTGAAACAAAACAAAACAAAAAAACTGCTTGGATCTTCAGCTATCTCTGGTGCCTGTTTGAATGCAGGGAGTTTTCCCACCCCAGGTTTCCGTTACATACACGCACTCAGCAAAAAATGTTGGGATGTTCACACATTCCATTTGTATATTTTTAAATGATAGATATTAATTTCTATACTAGTAAATTAGACATTATAAAATATTTTAAAATACCAACTTTTACAGCGGTGATAAATATAAGTAGAAATTATAATATGTACTTCCACATCTTGCTTGTCTGCACACCCCTGTGTATGCACCTCAAATTACAGCTCCTAAGATACACTGAGCCCTTCTTACTGCTGATAGTTATATGCTATTTGTTACCTTACCCTAAAATCATGCTTTTTCCCCTCACCATGAGATTCTGTGGTCTCACTGTGCTAGGGGTTGAAATATATCCCTGCCTCCCACCCCACCCCCACAGTGACTGTAACAAGAGAATGTGTCTTCAGGAAGTGATTAAGGTTAAATGAGGTCATAGGGTGGAGCCCTAAACAGATAGGATTGTGACTTTATCACAAGAGAAGAATTTTTTTTTTCCTTGCTCCCACCATGTAGGAAAGATGGCCCTGACCTTGCTGGCACCTTGATCTGCGTCTTCATAATTGGGAGAAAGTAAGATTCTGTTGTTTAGGCTACCTAGTCCATGATATTTTGTTATAGCAACTCCAGCTAAGACACATGCCTGTCTATTCTGAGTTTTTTTAAAAAAAAGATTTATTAATTTATTTGAAAGGCTGAGAGAGAGAGAGCGCGCGCGCTTCCATCCACAGTTTCACGCCTGGAACTCCACTGCACTATGATGCCAGCATCCCATATGAGCACCAGTTCAAGTACTGGCTGCTTCACTTCCAATCCAGCTCCTTGCTAATAATGCCTGGGAAGGCAGTGGATGGCAGCCTAAGTACTTGGGCTCCTGCCACCCACATGTGTTGAAGCTGCCCCTATTCTGAAAATTCTAACAGTGGCCCTTGTCATGTCACTTAATCTTTCTATGCTCAATTTCTTGATCTGTAAGACACAAATAGAATCCACCTCACTGGATTGTTGTGAGAATTCAATAAGTTTATATATATAAAGTGCTTACAACAGTGATGCCTTGTAAGCCATTATTATTATCATCTGTCATTATATCCAGATAAAGAAATCAAAGCAGAAAATAGCCAGGTAACTTGTCCAAAGGAAAGGGCATAGAATCTAATTTAGACATTAACACTCGTAACCCCAAGTTCTTTCTGGTAATCAACCCAGAAGCAAGATTTTTGAGGCCATGCAGCCTCACAATATTTCTGCACAATATTAAGAATCAACAGCTCTGAGGAGTGCAGGTGTTCAGCAGAAACCTACCATTCTGTAGATTCTAAATGAGACCCTGAAGCACTGCATGGGGATTTCAAGGAGAAAGAAGAAAGCGCCCTCAGCATCAGGATCTGGTCTAACGCAAATAGACCTTGGTGGTGTTTGAGGCTGGCCCCACGCTCATAACTAAAGTGTGCTATCCTGCTGTTTACACCTCACAGAACTAATAAATTGTTGTCATTATAAAACATAAAAGTACTAATTTTTAAGAATGATAAGTAGAAAATGTAATATTTACTTGTCCACTCCTGTTGCCTGCACACCAGCATCAGACAAGGTCCCTCAGGGACTATGAGGTCCACAGCATGATTTTTTTTTTTTTTTTTTGGACAGGCAGAGTGAACAGTGAGAGATAGAGACAGAGAGAAAGGTCTTCCTTTTTCTGTTGGTTCACCCCCACCCCCATGGCTGCTGTGGCTGGAGCGCTGCGGCCGGCGCGCTGTGGCCGGTGCACCACGCTGATCCGAAGCCAGGAGCCAGGTGTTTCTCCTGGTCTCCCATGGGGTGCAGGGCCCAAGTACTTGGGCCATCCTCCACTGCCTTCCTGGGCCACAGCAGAGAGCTGGACAGGAAGAGGAGCAACTGGGACAGAACTGGCGCCCCAACCGGGACTAGAACCCGGGGTGCTAGCGCCACAGGTGGAGGATTAGCCTATTAAGCCGTGTCGCCAGCCCACAGTATAATTTTGTCTAAGCACAGACAAAAGAAGCTCACTGCCACTCACAAAATACCAAATGCCCTTCTATACTGATGAATATGCGAGACTGTAACTTCTTGACTATTTATAGCTTCAGCCTTGCTCTAGTCTACCCTCCCTGGAGGTAAGGTTTATTTAGATACCCACACAGAATCATCTCCACTAACAGTGCCAAACCTGGTGCAGATCGCTACTTCCCTGGATCTTCCTTGAAACACGACTGAAACCTCAAAACTGCCATAGGCTCTAACATGTTTATTGAAGTGCCTTTAGTTCCCTAGGTGTTTATTTTATGTAGCTGTAAAGAGTTATAAGCCCAAACTGCTCAACTACAGGTATGTCCCTGGTGGTTTTTGGCTGGAAGGCACTAACACCAGTATCTTCAAAACGTGTCCTAGAGATAGACTCTGGACTTCTGGAACTCTACTTCTTCCCATCTGCTTATTTCCCCACACCCCTATTTCAGATTCCTTTCCAGGTCTCCATCCTGGAGACCCACATTGAAAGCTAATAACCTGGGGGCCGGCACTGGGGTGCAGCAGGTTAACACCCTGGCCTGAAGCATCCCATATGGGTGCCAGTTCTAGTCCCAGCTGCTCCTCTTCTAATCCAGCCCTCTGCTATGGCCTGGGAAAGCAGTAGAAATGGCCCAAGTCCTTGGGCCCCTGCACCCATGTGGGAGACCCAGAGGAAGCTCCTGGCTCCTGGATTCAGATCAGCGCAGCTCCGGTCATTGTATATAGTAGATTGTAGAGGTAAGAATTATAGTTCTGCTACTCACTACATATAATCATGTACAAGTTATTTCACCTCTTTGTAGCTACTTTTCCTTTTAATAATGCTCACTTCATTGCATTAAATGAGTTAATAGTACTTATACTATTAAACTAGTTAATACATATTAATACATAATAATATACTTATAACACATCTGCATATGGAACAGGATCAATATGATCTTGGTTTTGTTTTGTAAATAAAAACTTCTTCTCTTACTTGCCCCAGCAGCTTTTGTTCCTCTGAGATTCTAACCATTTCTCCTATCTCCATCCTCTTTTTCTGCCCAGTCTCTTACTTTGTGAGTTGAAATAGCACCACCCAGGCTCTTGATGATGCTTTGTGGCCTGTTTCCACACTCTACTGATGGGTTTGGCAAGAAAACAGAATAAAGCAATATTGCTTCAAAAATTATTTTTAGAACCAGCCGTATTTGACATTTGAGTTATTTGCAGACTTCTCAGCAAATTGTATTCTTTTTTGTTTAGTGCGACATAGGCCTAGTGTAGGCATAGCTTTTAAATATTTAAGGAAAACCCCAGGTACCTTTTTATCTCATCCTGTTGCTTCCAAAAAAGTTCCTTCACTGACAGGTGCTCATCACGAAGTCGAAAGAAACCATCTTCCAATTCCTCCCGGCTCATCTTGCTTAAGGATGGTTGAGGTTTTACACTCTTACCTAAAGTCCAAAAGGGGGTAATTGGAGAACATTTGTTCATGCAGGTTTTTTTTAGTCCATCCAATCTTTTTTTTTTTTTTTTTTTTTTTTTTTTTTTTTGACAGGCAGAGTGGACAGTGAGAGAGAGAGACAGAGAGAGAAAGGTCTTCCTTTTGCCGTTGGTTCACCCTCCAATGGCCGCCGCTGCAGCCGGCGCACCGCGCTGATCCTGGCAGGAGCCAGGAGCCAGGTGCTTTTCCTGGTCTCCCATGGGGTGCAGGGCCCAAGCACCTGGGCCATCCTCCACTGCACTCCCTGGCCATAGCAGAGAGCTGGCCTGGAAGAGGGGCAACCGGGACAGAATCCGGCGCCCCAACCGGGACTAGAACCCGGTGTGCCGGCGCCGCAAGGTGGAGGATTAGCCTATTGAGCCACGGCGCCGGCCCAGTCCATCCAATCTTATCACATGTCTTCTACAGGGAATAAATCTATCTTGAGTCAAGCACTTTAGAGGAAATTTAGGAGTATCTGAAATGACGATTGTTGGACCTCTGGAGGCTCTTTCTTGGGTCATCACAGCACGAGGTATGACTCAACTTCCAATATAGAAAGTACATTCTTGGGGCCAGAACTGTGGCTCAGCAGGTTAAGCCACCATCTTCAGCATTGACTGCTCCATTTAGAATTCAGCTCCTTGTTAATGTGCTTGGGAAAGCAGCAGAGAACAACCCAAGTCCCTGGGCCCCTGCACTCACATCAGAGACCTGGAAGAAGCTCCTGGCTCCTGGTTTCGACCTGGCCCAGCCCTGGTCATTGCGGCCATGTGCAGAGTGAACCAGCAGATATTAGGTCTCTTTGTAATTCTGACTTATAAATAAATCTTTTTTTTTTTTTAAAGTTTTCCACATACAAGTCATATGTTTTTGGAGATTTTTACACATGGCATTTCCTTTTTTGAGCAATTGTTTATGCTATTGTGTCTTTTTTTTTTTTTTTTTTTTTTTTTTTAAGATTTATTTGAAAGAGTTACAGAGATGCAAAGGCAGAGAAAGAGAAAAGTCTTCTATCCTCTGGTTCACTCCCAAGATGGCTGCAGTGGCCAGAGCTGCGCTGATCTGAAGCCAGGAACCAGGAGCCTCCTCCAGGTCTCCCATGTGGGTGCAGGGTCCAAGGACTTGGGCCATCTTCCACTGCTTTCCCAGGCCATAGCAGAGAGCTGGATCAGAAGTGGAGCAGTCAGGACTTGAACCGGTACTTATATGGAATGCCAGCACTGCAGGCAGCAGTTTTACCCACTACGCCACAGTGCCAGCCCCATAAATAAATCTTTTTTTTTTTTTAAAAAAAAAGCACATTCTCTTGATAAAAATATCAACCAGGGCTTTTATTCTAAACTTTTCTTTTTCTTTTTGATGTATCCTCCCATTTTTTTTTTTCCTTCTTAGATGATTTGGACCTAGACAAGGTCTGTGCCATAACTAACTCCAAAACCCCAGTAAGGAAAAAGGTAGAAATCTTTCTTGACTACCAGGAATTGTCTTGCTTGTTTTTGTGGTCTGGAGAAACTATCCCCAAAGCTGCCTCCTTGAAACAGACCCTCTGCTTGGTCTGCCTTCAGTGTGTGCTCACTGGCTCATGGGCTGGGTGTGAGCTCATGGGGAACAGGAACCTTCCAAAAACCCAGAGTTCAAGACAGCTCTTCTCCCCACTGAGAAGAAAGGGAACTCAGAGCTTTGGTCTCAGAACCACCTCAGCTACCACTACTACCTCATTGATCTACTCCTTGGAAATGATGACAAATAAGTTCTTCTTTTTTGTTTTTTACAGGCAGAGTGGACAGTGAGAGAGAGAGAGATAGAGAGAGAGATAGAGAGAGAGAAAGGTCTTCCTTTGCAGTTGGTCCACCCTCCAATGACCACCGTGGCCAGCGCGCTGCACTGATCTGAAGGCAGGAGCCAGGTGCTTCTCCTGGTCTCCCATGGGGTGCAGGGCCCAAGCACTTGGGCTATCGTCCACTGCACTCCTGGGCCACAGCAGAGAGCTGGCCTGGAAGAGGGGCAACCGGGACAGAATCTGGCGCCCCGACCGGGACTAGAACCTGGTGTGCCGGCGCCGCAAGGCGGAGGATTAGCCTAGTGAGCCGCGGCGCCGGCCTGACAATTAAGTTTTTCAAAAACAGGTTTATTGGAGTACAATTGGTATGTAATATACCACACATACTTGAAGTAGAAATTTTGACTGTCCTCAACATATTTATATACCTGAGAGACATTCCCTATAATTAAAAATGCCAAGGTTCTCTCCCAAGTTTCCTTGTGTCCCTTTGTAATCCATTCCAACTTAAACTCTTATCTTTGTTCTCAGGCACCAACTCTAATGCTTTATGTTATTATATATCAGTTTTCCAGTTTCTATCTTTTTTTTTTTTTTTTTTGACAGGCAGAGTGGACAGTGAGAGAGAGAGAGAGACAGAGAGAAAGGTCTTCCTTTTTGCCATTGGTTCACCCTCCAATGGCCGCCACGGCTGGCGCGCTGTGGCCGGCGCACCATGCTGATCCGAAGGCAGGAGCCAGGTGCTTCTCCTGGTCTCCCATGGGGTGCAGGGCCCAAGCACTTGGGCCATCCTCCACTGCCTTCCCTGGCCACAGCAGAGAGCTGGCCTGGAAGAGGGGCAACCGGGACAGAATCCGGCGCCCTGACAGGGACTAGAACCCGGTGTGCTGGCGCTGCTAGGTGGAGGATTAGCCTATTGAGCCGCGGGGCCGGCCCATTTTCTATCATTTTATGAAGATCAAATTATCTATTATGTACCCATTTGTTAGTCTGACTTCTTTTACTTAGCATAATTATTTTGAGATTCACCCATGCTGTTTTGTGTGTTAATAGATCTTAGTGGATGAATAGGATTCCTTTATATGGATATATAATAATTTATTTGTCCATTTGCTATAGATAGACATCTGAGTGGCTTCCTGTTTTGCATGATTACAAATGGAGCTACTATCAGCACCTGCGCACGAGTCTTTGTGTGGACATATGTTTTTATTTTCCTTGGGTAAATAGAAAAGAGAGAAATAGCTGGGTAATAAAGTACAGGTATGTTTAGTTTTAAAATGGTTGTTTTACATTTTATTTATATATTCATTCATTTTATTTCAGAGACACAGAGAGAATGAGTTCCCATCCACTGGTTTATTCCCCATGTTACCCACAAGGTTGAGGATGGGGGAAGAAAGCTGGGAGCTGGGAACTCAATCCAAGTCTCCCACATGGATGGCAGGAACAAAGTCACTTGAATAATCACCACATCTTCCCAGAGTCTACATCGGCAGAAAGCTCAGAGCAGGAGCTAGCGCAGGGTGTCTCACCCAGGCACTCCAATAAGGGACCCAGGTATTCTAATCAGCAGCCAAATGCCTACCACTGTTTAATTTTTCAAAGACTGCCAAATGGTTTTCCATAGTGGTTATACCATATAGTATTCCCACCAGCAACGTGTGAGAGCTCTTCCACATCCTTGACAACACTTGATCTCTTTAATATTAACCATTCTAGTGAGTGTGTACTTGTTTTAATTGTGTTCATTTTCATTACTAACCTACATATCCCTAACTAATGATATTGAACATTTTTATGCACTTATTTTCCATTTGTGTATCCTCTTTAGTAAAATAGGTGTTCAAATCTTTTGTTCAGGGTCTGGCGTTGAGGTGTGTTGGGTAAGGCCAATGCACCTGAGATATTGGCATCCCATTTGGACACCAGTTTGTGTCCCAGCTGCTCCACTTCTGATCCAGCTTCCTGCTAATAGCCTCAGAAAAGCAATGAAGGATGGCCTAAGTGTTTGGGCCCCTTTCACCCATGTGGGAAACCCAGATGAAACTTGTGGCTCCTGACTTCAGCCTGGCCCAGGCCTGGCCATTGTGGCTACTTGGAGAGTAACCAGTGGATGGAAAATATCTCTATCTCTCCCTCTCTCTCTGTAACTTTAACTTTCAAATAAATAAATAAATCTTTTTAAAAGAACTTTTGTTCATTTTAAAAAGTTCATTTATTTATTTATATTGATTTTAATGGCAGAGAGAGAGAGAGACGGAAGCAAAGACAGAGAGAGATCTTCCATTCACTCTCCAAACACTTGTACAGCTGGAGCTGGGCCAGGCTGAAGCCAGGAGCCTGGAACTCATTCCAGATTTTCTTGTGGCAGGCCCCAAAGATTAATTTTTGAGTATATGAATATACCATAAAAATATCCCTGCTAGGTAGTATTACCTGTTTATGACAAAAGTTTTTCTTCTCCCCAAATAAAGTTTCTAAGATAAAAATTGCATTATCTTAGGAAAAACTTTCCAAATCAAGAGTTTATAAAATAATGCAATTGACTTCTAAGACAGTTGGCTTAACAGTAAAGTATAGTCACTAGGAAGAAAATCTGTGGAATATTTATTCATATAAAAAAATTTTTTTATTTGACAGGTAGAGTTATAGAAAGTGAGAGAGAGAGACAGAGAGAAAGGTCTTCCTTCTGTTGGTTCACTCCCCAAATGGCCACCACGGCTGGCGCTGCGCCGATCTGAAGCCAGGAGCCAGGTGCTTCTTCCTGGTCTCCCATGTGGGTGCAAGGGCCCAAGCACTTGGGCCATCCTCCACTGCCTTCCTGGGCCACAGCAGAGATCTGGACTGGAAGAGGAGCAAGAACTAGACTAGAAACCTATGCCCATAGGGGATGCTGGTGCCACAGGCGGAGGATTAACCAAATGAGCCACGGTGCCGGCCCAGAATATTTATTTATGACCAGCACTTTACTTTACTTTTACTTTACTTTTAGCTGGTTCATATTTAACAGAAGGGAAATTGGACACAAATTGTAATAAAACCTAGATAAGTTTCCTTTTCCACAAAATAGACTTATAAATCTCTCTTTTGTTACCTCTTTCCACAACTCATTTATTGTGCTGAGGAAATATTGGGTTCTTTTGGATTTTTTGGTTACGTGGGTGGGTTCCAAACTGACTCAAGTCTCTAAGTAGGGTGTTCCTACACATGGCTTCCTGTCATTAGTTCCATGACTCCTCCAACTTGGAAAATTATCTCAGCTAGCTCACAAGCATGGACTTTGTTCAAGGAACAGTAAAAGCTTTCAGAAGCACAAAATCCTCACTAAATAGAGTATATATAAAATAAATTAAAAATTCTTACAACTAATAACATAAAGACAAATAACCCAGCTTAAAAATCGGCAAAGGATCCAAATAGGTATTTCCTCAAAGAAGAAATTAAAAAGCTGAGTAAGCACATGCAAGGATGTGAATGTGATTGTTTATCAGGGAAATGCAAAGCAAAACCAGAATGAAGGGGCAGTTGTTTGGCACAGCAGTTGGGACGCCGCTTGGGGTGCCCACACTCCACGTCAGCATGCCTGATTTGAGTCCCTGCTTCTCTGCTTCCAATCCAGTTTCCTGCTAATTCCCACCCTGAGAGGCAGCAGATGATGTCTGCTGTCCCTGTTTCCCATGTTGGGGACTCAGATTAAGTTCCTGGATCCTGGCTTTGGTTTGGCCTGGCTCTGGCTTTGGGGACATTTGGGCAGATGAAAAATCTCTCTGTGTCTTTGTTCTTCTCCCTGTATCTCTGACTGTCAAATAAAATGAAAATAAATTTAAAAATTTTAAATATTAAAAAAGACAAGAAATAAATTTACTTATTTATTTGAGGTTCACTCCCCAGATGTTCACAATGGTGGGGCAGGGTACAAGAGCTGGAAACTCAATCAAGGTCTCCCACATGGGTGGCAGGAATCCAGCAGTTGGGCCAACACCACTGCCTCCCAGGATCTGCATTAGTAGGAAGCTCGAGTCAGGAGCTAGAGCTGGGGATCAGCGCCAGCCACTCTTGATATGGGACACTGATGTCCTAACTAGCATCATAACTACAAGGCCGAATTACTAAGATTAAATTTTAATGATACAGTGATAACACTTCAATTACATTAAGTATTGATGAGGATACACAAATATTGGAACTATCGTAGATCACTGGTAGAAAGCAGTGCAACTGCTTTGGAAGACAGTCTGAGACTTCCTCAAAATGTGTAACAGAGTTATCATGTTACTCAGAAATTCTTCTGAGTATATGCCTAGAAATAAAAACATACCTCTATGCAAAAACTTCATAGCAACATTATTCATATTAATTAAAAAGGACAGGGGCCTGAGCTGTGGCACAGCAGGTAAAGCCACCGCCTGCAGTGCCAGCATCCCATGTAACATTTAAGAGTAAAACGTTGAGAAGACTTTAGAGATGAAAGAAAAGGGATCACCATGAAGGCTAGCAAGGTGCCCCGCATTGACAGAGTTTGATTCTAAAATGCAACCATCCTCAGGCCCTGGATGTACCTTTCGACGCTGGCAGCATCAGAGGTGCGGAGCTCACGTCTCTAACTGGCAGGTCCCCTGAAGTATGATCCACCAGATGTGACATCTCCTCAGTTCTCAAGCTGTGAGAGATGATGGAGGATACAGGGAGAGGAAAAGTCCAGCCAGTTACATACAATTTTAGGACACCTTCTGTAGATAGTACTTCAGTTGTAGTAGGAATTTCTCAACATTTCCAAGATGTTATGTGAGCATCATGGTCACTTTTGTGGTGGTGTGAGAACTCTAAGAGTAAGACCAAGGGGAAGGGGTTTGGTGCAGCGGTTCAGTGCCACTTAGCATCCCCACATCCTATATCAGAGGGCCTGGTTTGAATCCCAGCCCCTCCACTTCTGATCCAACTTCCTGTAATGCACACCCTGGGGGCAACAGATGACAGCTCATGTACTTGGCTATTTGCCATCCATGTTGGAGACCTGAATTGAGCTCTAGGGTCCTGGCTTTGTCGTGGACCATCCTTGGCTGTTGTGGGCATTTGAGTGGTGAACCAGAAGGTGGAAGATCTCTGTCAGTCTCTCTGTCTATTTGCCTCAAGTATTCAATAATTCTGACATTATTTATTCAAAATGAAAATAAATTTTCCTGATTATAGAATTGATTTTGGATCAACTTTTGAGTGTCTGCATTCCTGGAAGGCAATGACTATTCCCTCTGTCTGGGAAACAGGCCTTTAACTCTCCTCTCCAAGCCATTCACAGGGGCAGACTCTGAGGAACCGGTTTACATACGACTCTATGATCCAGTCCCCAAAGCTGTTGATGATTGGACCAGAGGTAGACAACTGATCCAAGATGGACCAATCAGATTCTCTCTCCCAGGAGGTTAGAAATGGAACCTAATGAGTTAAATTAACCTCAGCGAATGGTTAAAACTATTATTTAAACTTAGGAGCTTTGGAAAGGCCATCTGTTCTGTGGCCAGAATGACTAGGAAATCCTATCTGCATAATTGTCATACTCTTTTTCTGGAATGAGTGTATCCAGTTTTTCTAGGCTTAAATATTAAATATATACTTCTGGGTTCAAATGTGCTGTTGCTTCCAATATTCATGTCTCCATCATTGATCTTCAATTAGTAAAACTCCCTGTCTGTTTTTTTTTTTTTTTTTTTAAGATTTACTTATTTATTTATTTGAAAAACAGAATTACAGAGAGACAGAAGCAGAGAGAGAGAGACAGAAGTCTTTCATCTGCTGGTTCACTCCCCAGATGGCTGCAACAGCTGGAGCTGTGCCAATTTGAAGCCAGAAGCCAGGAGCTTCTTCCAGGTCTCCCATGTGGGTGCAGGGACCCAAGGACTTGGGCCATTTTCTACTGCTTTCCCAGGCCATAGCAGTGAGCTGGATCAGAAGTGAAGCAGCTGGGACTTGAACCACCACCCATATGGGACGCTGGCCCTGCATGTGGCGGCTTTACCTGCTATACTATAGCGCTGGCCCCAAAACTTCCTGTGGCACTCACATAGCTACTAGATAGCTCAAACTCATTAGGCCCAAACAGGAATATTGACTTTTATTTCCAAACTGATCTCTTTCCAGACTTTCCTTTTCTCCATAAATGGCACTAATATCCTAACAGAAGGCCAGTGCCGTGGCTCAACAGGCTAATCCTCTGCCTGTAGCGCTGGCACACCGGGTTCTAGTCCCAGTCAGGGCGCCGGATTCTGTCCCAGTTGCCCCTCTTCCAGACCAGCTCTCTGCTGTGGCCCGGGAGTGCAGTGGAGGATGTCCCAAGTGCTTGGGCCCTGCACCCGCATGGGAGACCAGGAGAAGCATCTGGCTCTTGGCTTCGGATCAGCGTGATGCGCCGGCAGCGGCGGCCATTTGGAGGGGGAACCAACGGCAAAAGGAAGACCTTTCTCTCTGTCTCTCTCTCTCTCACTGTCCACTCTGCCTGTCAAAAAAATAAAAAATATCCTAACAGACCTACAGCTTTGAGTCCTCACTTCCATCATCCATTAGCCCATCTTCTAGGTTTTTCCTAAAATCAAAATTGTTTGGTTCCCACCACTATAATTTTATAATGTTTATTCATTATTAGTCATTTTCATTTACTTGAAAGGCAGAGTGACCGAGAGAGAAGAAGAGAGACAGATCCTCCAAGCACTGGTGCACTCTCCAAAGGCCTGCAATAACAAGGACTGGGTCAGGCTGTAGCCTGGAACCAGGAACTCTGTCTTTGTCTCCCACATGGGTAGCAGGGTCCCAAGCACTTGAGTCATCATTTGATGCCTCCCAGGATGCATCAGCAGGAAGCTGGATCAGAAATACAGCAGCCAAACTGGAACTTTGATATGGGGTATGGATGTCCAAGGGGCAGCCCAACCAGCTGTACCACAACACCCACCCTTCCACCATTATGATTTTAGCCACCTCTATGTTTTTCCTCAAGTACCATGATGTTTTCTTAATGTTTCTCCCATTTTCCTTCCACCCTTCAGCAATTTCCTCTGAAACATCCAGAATAACTTTTTTTTTTTTTTTTTTTTGACAGGCAGAGTGGACAGTGAGAGAGAGAGACAGAGAGAGAAAGGTCTTCCTTTGCCGTTGGTTCACCCTCCAATGGCCGCCGCTGCAGCCGGCGCACCGCGCTGATCCGATGGCAGGAGCCAGGAGCCAGGTGCTTTTCCTGGTCTCCCATGGGATGCAGGGCCCAAGCACGTGGGCCATCCTCCACTGCACTCCCTGGCCACAGCAGAGAGCTGGCCTGGAAGGGGGGCAACCGGGACAGAATCCGGCGCCCCGACCGGGACTAGAACCCGGTGTGCCGGCGCCGCAAGGTGGAGGATTAGCCTATTGAGCCACGGCGCCGGCCCAGAATAACTTTTATAAAACAACTCAAATTGTAGCATTTAAAAGTCTCCAGTGACTTTTCATTGCATTTAGAACAGAATCTAAATTCCACACTGGGTCCCCTAGGCCCTACCCTATTTTCCTACTTCTCTGATTGATTATACTTTGTACCTCCTTTGCTGTAGCTCACAATGCTCCTCACTCCTGGCCTCCCCTCTGCTCCTGCAAACGTCAGACCCCTTCTTGCATCAGAGCCTTTGTTCTTCAGTGCAGTGCTCTCAGCTTTGCTCTCTCCATGGCTGGCTCCTTCTCATCCTTCAGCCTCCACGAAGCCTTTCCTGACCTTGATAGTGAAAGTTATAAATTTTGTCGTGTCACTTTTTTTCTCTTCCCTCTGTAACATCTACAAAAATTGGAAACTATCTCATTTACTTGTAGTTGTTTACTGTTTGTTTCCTCTAGGATAAATGGATTTTGAAGGCAGAAAATCATTTTATTTTGCTTGCCTATATATCCCCAGTACCCAAACAGTTCTCGGATCATAGTGGTCATCCAATATATATATATATTCAATAAACAAAAAAATGAATGAATGAACAAGACACTGAGGGATGATACAAAAAGTCCTGAAAAATATTGTTAATGATTCCAGTCTTTTCTAAAGGCCTAGTTCTCTTGGGGCCAGCACCATGGCATAGAGGGTAAAACCTCTGCCTTCAGTGCCAGCATACCATATGGGCACCAGTTTGAGTCCTGTCTGCTCCACCTCCGATCTAGCTCTCTGCTATTGCCTGGGATAGCAGTAGAAGATGGTCTAAGTCCTTGGGCCCCTGCACCCACATGGGAGACCTGGAAGAATCTCCTGGCTCCTGGCTTTGGAACGACATAGCTTCGGCCATTGCAGCAATTTAGGGAGTGAACCAGCAGATGGAAGACCTCTCCCTTCCTCTGCCTCTGCCTCTCTTTAACTCTGCCTTTCAAATATAAATAAATCTTAAAAAAAAAAAAAAAAAAAGGCCTGGTTCTCCTCCGACCTTTCTGTTCTACAGGAGAGTTCCATGTCCTGCACAAGAAATTTCCTTTTTTTTTTTTTTTTTTTCAGAAACTATCTTGACATGCCTCCTGAAGAAGCTTATTCAAAGATCTAAGAATGAAACAGTTATCAGAATTCCAGGCAAGAAAATCAGGAAAGATCATGTGGTGGGGGGGCCAGAGGTATGGCACAGAGGGTAAAGCCACCACCTGTGGTGTAGGCATCCCATATGGGATGGGCATGGTTGGAGTCCCAGCTGCTCCACTTCTGATCCAGCTCTCTGGCCTGGGAAACAATAGAAGATGGCCCAAATTCTTGGGCCCCTGCACCCGGTGAGAGACCTGGAAGAAACTCCTGGCTCCTGGCTTTGGATCAACGCAGCTCCAGTGGTTGCAGCCATCTGGGGAGTGAACTAGCAGATGGAAGACCTCTCCCTCTCCCTGCTTCTGCCTCTCTGTAACTCTGCCTTTCAAATAAATAAATAAACCTAAAAAAAAAAAAAAATGAGGTGGACAAACCTCACCTCCAAAACCCAATGAAGTGGTCAAGATTGAATCCCTCAGGGAAAAAGGACTGGATAGTAGATACAAGCAAGAAGGGCTTATCATCAGTTGTAAACTCACTGGGATGAAAGACTAAAAGAATTCCCTGGCAGTATATTCATAACTGCAGAGCACTAGGGCAAATGCAAGCTAGCAAGGGCAAAGAGTAATTCTTTTTGTTAAAAATATTTATTTATGTTTATTTGAAAGGCATGGCAGAGAGAGAGAGAGTGGGGGGGGGGGAGCAGGCTAGGAGCAGATATTCAATCTTAGTCTCCCATGTGGGTGATAGGGACCCAAGTACTTGAATCAAGCACACCTGCTGCCTACCAGGGTACTCATTAGCAGGAAGCTAGCACAGGAAGCAGAGCTGGGACTTGAACACAGATAATCCAAAGTGGGATCCGGGTGACCCAAGTAGCATCTTAATCTCTTTGCTAATTGCTCACCCAGGAAGAATAAATCTTTAACAGCAATGGATATATAAAGCTAGTTTGATGACATCAGCAATCAAAAAACACGCAGCCAGGAGCAAATGTTTAGCCTAAAAGTTAAGATGCCCCAGTCCCACATTGCAGTTCCTGCATTTGACTCCTGTTCTGGCTCCTGACTCCAGCTTCCTGCCAATACAGACTCTGGGTGGCTGTGGGGATGGCTCAAGCAATTGGGTTCCTGCCACCCATGTGGGAGACCTGATTGAATTCCTGGCTCCCAGCTTTGCCTGCATTACAGGTATTTGAGGGAGTGAACCAGCAGATAGGAGCTCTCTATTTGTTCTTTCTCTGCCTCTCAACAAGATAAATACTCTCATCTCTGATTAAATATGGAGAGAATAAACTGTAAATAGTGACTGTGATCAAAGGACTAGGTATAAGTGACTCTACAACCTTCCTTTGGGGTGCAACCACAGACAAGTTATTTAACCATTCTGCTAAGTTTCCTTATTTGTAAAATAGGATAAAATACTTAGCTTATATGGTTATGACAAGATGTCATTCAGATGATTTTGTAAAAAAAAAAACTTGCCATAATAATTAGCATTTACTACATACTGTATCTACAAAATGCTAGGGGCTGTTACTGTAGTACATTCACTATCAGAATGCCAATGCTTCCCATCCAGCTCCCTGCTAATGTGCCTCAGAAGGCAGCAGAAGGTGGTACAAGTGTTTGGGCCCTGTCAACCCTGTGGGAGACCTGGATGGAGTTCCTGGCTCCTGGCTCCTGGCTTAAGCCTGGCTTAACCCATGCCACTGCAGTAATTTGGGAAGTGAATCAGCAGATGAAAGATCTCTTTTCTCTGTCTCTCCATTTCTGTCTGTCATTCTGTTTTTCAAATAAATAAAATAAATCTTTTTTAAAATGCTATCTATTTTTGTTGTTTCCACTGAACTAGTCTCTGATCATTTGAAAATTTCACTTTGCATTTATCAGTACATATTAATGATATAATATATAATATTCTTGTGTGTTGGGTAACACTAGTCAGTTCTCTATACATCATATACTTCTCCACTAGCCCACATGCTCTTCTGAAGATATCTTTTTTTTTTTTTTTTTTGACAGGCAGAGTGGACAGTGAGAGAGAGAGAGAGAAAGGTCTTCCTTTTGCCGTTGGTTCACCCTCCAAGGGCCGCCACGGCTGGCACGCTGCAGCCGGTGCACCGCGCCGATCTGAAGGCAGGAGCCAGGTGCTTCTCCTGGTCTCCCATGGGGTTCAGGGCCCAAGCACTTGGGCCATCCTCCACTGCACCCCCTGGCCACAGCAGAGAGCTGGCCTGGAAGAGGGGCAACCGGGACAGAATCCGGCGCCCCAATTGGGACTAGAACCTGCAAGGTGGAGGATTAGCCTGGTGAGCCGGGGCGCCAGCCTGAAGATATCTTTATATATCTACTAACACAGTGCCTGGCACATGTAGATATATAATATTTTTTCAGAAGAGGTAGTATTAAAGCACTGGATTGTGGCACAAATTGTTTTCTATTTTACAATTGCTTTGAATGATTTTACAAAGTTTTGTGTTGATTTTTCCTCCAAGAGCATAATGAGATGAGAGCTACAATGTGTTGCTGATATAAATATGACAGAGGAGAAAGATATCTAAGTCCAAAGGTAAAAAATCTGCTCAAAGGAATGTCAGCGGCATTTCAGTAGAGTATAGGAAATGATACTGCAAAATTATTTTCTTTCTTCGAAATTCATGGATTAAGTGAGCTTAGCTGACAAAATATAAAAATAGAGTTTTAATTATTTCAAAATTAATATGGAGTAGGAATTCAAGCTTTCCCAATGTATAATGAATTAACTAAAACAGGCCCAAGAAATAATCAGACTCCTAAAAAGAAGTCTGTGCTTGGGCTCCTCTGAGTGGAAGATCTGGGGGAAGGAAGGGAGAAATTGTGAACAGACCCTTGAAGAAAGTGGGTGTGGCCACTTGGGAGCAGCTGATCTTACCTGAGAGATAAAAGCAAGGGAGCTGCAAGAATTGAGCAAGAACCGGCCGGTGCCAAGGCTCACTAGGCTAATCCTCCGCCTAGCGGCGCCGGCACACCGGGTTCTAGTCCCGGTCGGGGCGCCGGATTCTGTCCCGGTTGCCCCTCTTCCAGGCCAGCTCTCTGCTGTGGCCAGGGAGTGCAGCGGAGGATGGCCCACGTGCTTGGGCCCTGCACCCCATGGGAGACCAGGAAAAGCACCTGGCTCCTGGCTCCTGCCATCGGATCAGCGCGGTGTGCCGGCCGCAGCGCGCTGGCCGCGGCGGCCATTGGAGGGTGAACCAACGGCAAAGGAAGACCTTTCTCTCTGTCTCTCTCTCTCACTGTCCACTCTGTCAAAAAAAAATAAAAAAAATAAAAAAAAAAAGAATTGAGCAAGAACCTTAGAGCAAAGATAAAGCAAAGCTACGAGAGAAAAACATAGGTTCTGTTTCAGTAGGTTTGGTTGTACAAATGCTTGGAAAAATGAAAGGAGCTACTGGAATTCGGATCGAAAGCATTTTGACAAATACTACTGTATGTCTATTACGTGCTGCTGCTTCGAGGACAAGGAAAATAGAGACCTTGCTCTTGGAAAATGAACGTCTAAGAGGGGAAATAAGAAAAGCACACTCTCAATCATAAGGTAAATGACAGATAAGTCAACCTGAGATGAACAAAGCCAAGTGGGAGTGTGAGATAAGGAGGAGAGCCAAGTTTACCTGAAGGGTCAGGTCAAGCTTTACAGTGGGAGGGCAACTGGAGACTCAGAGTGCTCCATACAGAGTAGACAGCCTGAACAGAGTCAGAGAGTGGCAAAGAGCAGGGTGAATTTGGACAGTAGCAAAGAGGCATGAAGAATATGAGAAGGAGAAGTGTGTGAATTTAAGGAAAAAGTAATGGAAAATCTTGTTTATAAGATACAGGAGTGTGAGGCCAGTTTTGGGGAAATCAGGTAAACCCGCTATCTGCAGTGCCAGTCTGCAGTGCCAGTGTCCCATATGGGCACCAGTTCCAGTCCCAGCTGCTCCACTTCTGATCCAGCTCTCTGCTATGGCCTAGGAAAGCAGTAGAAGGTGGCCCAAGTCCTTGGGCCCCTGCTCTCGTGTGGGAGACCAGAAGAACCTCCTGGCTCCCAGCTTCAGATCAGCTCAGCTCCAGCCATTGAGGCCATCTGGAAAGTGAACCAGTGGATCGAAGACTTTTTCTCTCTCTGTCTTTCAAATAAATAAATCTTTAAAAAATATTTATTTACTTGAAAGATGAATGACAGAGAGAGA